CCTCTTCTACATCCACAATGAGACCGTTAACATCCTGACGCACGGTGAGAGATGCCTTTTGTGCTCGAGTTCTGCAACGAACGTTGGATTAAATTCGTTTAGAGTCTATTCTTTATTGCCTTTTGATTTTGATTTTTATTTTGCATTATGGTTTCGTCCTCTAGGGTTTCGATACCTCCTCCCAGATCTCATGCGCGATTGATTTATCAGATACTGCATACCAAAGATACGGATTTCTAACAAATCTGACCTTTGATTAATTACTATAATTATAATATAACAAATCTTGGAGCATTCATACAATATTTTTATCTTTTGACATGTTGAATTAATTCTAGATTAATATAATTAATTTAGTATCTTGAATATTAGAATATATAGATAGGTAAAAATTCATCATTTCATATTTGTAATACAATTTTTATCTTAAAATAGTGTTATCTGTGCATTAAAAATATTTTGAGAAGGTATCAAAGCCTAAAGGTAATAGAAAAATTATCATAAGCAAGCAGTGTGGAGCCTTGATAAATGTTGCCAATATATTATATATTATAAAGTGAAAATCAATCAATCAGTAAATGAATTTGATCGCGCAAGATAAAGCTATTATTATTCTTCGTGTAGAATTTATTTTCCATAAAAAGTAATAACGTAGAGCATCACGTTATATCATTGACGAGATTTGCCATCCTCGTAACTGCATTAAACGAGAAAAGTGGATTGGATCCCTTAAGAGCTTTAAAGTCAAGGTGGAGCTATCAAGGCCAAACTTCCGTGAAAACATCGCGTTCAACGAAGACGCATTGCAGGGTAACGGACGCGATCGATGAGAACAAAACCATATAATATTCCCGCCAAAGCTGATCCTTCATTGATAAATTTCTAACAAGAGCGCGAGTTAATAAATGATTTATCACGATTTTTATACGTTACATGAGACAAAGTTCGAGAAAAAGGCAACGCGATTGTCCCTCGTGCGACATTCATGCTCGTTCATGTATAAAGTAGACCGCAATATATAGCGCGGACACGAGAGAGTGAATCCGAAATTTCCTTTTATAGAGAGAGCAGAGAGAAAATCCCTTTGTGGGGCCTCTTCAAATGCTACGAGTTGTTACGCCAAATTCTTTTGTATCTTCGGAAAGTTATCCCCGTGTTCTGTGTTTCTCTAGTGGACCAACCTGTATATAAATCTCACGTATCGACCAGCGCACATGTGCGTGAAATAAAATCTTAGTAGGTCAGAGCTTCCCACTGTTCATGGAAAGGCTCGTTAATATAGACCGTTTAAAGTTTATTTTTTAAGAAAATTAAATATTTTCGTGAACGTTTAAATTTTTTTTTTTTAGTTATTACTCGATTTTTCATTATTATTGATGACACTGTATTGTCAATTTTAATAATCACTGATGGTGAAAACAATAATGTAATTTAAAGATTAGAAAGCTTATTCTTATATACATATATTACATAATTCAGATTTAATGGAAATTTTCTCTCGCTTTCTTTAGTATTAATAAACATTTTTAAGTAATATGATTACTCTCTGTCAAACATTTGTGAAAGTAAATTGCACACATAGCACATTTTTAAATAATATCAAAAGTTTTGTTTTAAAATACACATATAGTATGCAAAAGCACGCAAGTGAGAGCAATAATGTGTGATTTCAGGATTCGCTATCCTCTACATGTTACTGACCGTACCGCATTTACTTCCATGGAACACAAAAGGAACGCTCGTAGGAATTCTGTCCTGGTGTCACTTGATTGGTGCCGTCAGTCCGTGGGTGGGATCCTTCCTGTATCATTTGTTCATGAACGTGAACTATGACGAAGTCTTCTACAGAACACTGCTAAAAGTCGATATGGTCGGCATATGGCTATGTCAGAGTTTCGGTGCGTGATGCATTTCTAGTTGAGAGCCTTTCTCTGAAAGAAGACAAAAATTAATGAGAAAACAGATATGACTATATAGTTCGTGTAATTTATCTGATAAGATTTATTTTTCATCCGAAACTTTGTATCTTTTAATTCGGCTCTTCAAACAAAAAGCGCGACTAAATTTTAAATGTGCTTAAACGTAGAACGTCTCGCTAAAACAGTTCAAGTGTAACGATAGACACTTTTCTATTTCATGCATAATTAATTTCAGGAGCTATACCGATGATGGCAGCCGCGGTTCATTGCCTCGCCGATAACATTTGGTATTGCTGCATTTTTATTTACTGCACCCTCAGTTTTTGGGGACTTTTAAAGGTGATATTTTCTAGCTTACACAGTACATTAGTTGACACTTCGTGTCACAATGACGATTTTAAACGTTCGCATAGGCGATGACTGCGGGATCACCATGGGAAAGACGTTTATGTTTCGCTCCTCCTTTCCTCATGAGAATGTTGGTCATGACATTGAGATGTTTCGGCATCGGTGGCGGATCACCCGACGCTCTTATTCATATAATATTACAGGTTCATGTCTTTTTCTTATAATCTAGTTTTACACCTCGCGGATAGTCAGGCAAACAAACTTACAGCCGATATTAATAACGGAGAGCAATTTGCAGGATCTCGTAGCTGTGATAGGTGCAACCATCGGCGCTCTTCGCATTCCAGAGAAGTGGATTCCCGGCAAATTGGATCTAGTGCTAAATTCCCATAATGTAATGCACGTAATGGTCGTCCTGGCGGTGTGTTCCATGCATACCGCCACTTTGAAGGACCTCGCCTGGATGTCCGATCCGTCTACGTGCAATAAAGCAAGCTATCCTTCTTCGGATCGCGAAGAACTGTGATTATAAAATGAGAAACGCGACGGTTTGCTGCAGTCTGTGATAAACCGAGCCTATAACAACTGGCGATTAGTCGAGCGCTTCGACACTTGGAGACCAGAAAGTGTGCTTAATTCTATATATATAATATAATAGATAAATCTATAAATATTAAAGAAATATTATATATATATTATATAATTATAATATATATATATATATTATATATATTATATATATATATATGACAGAGAGTTTATAATAATACAGAATTATTTAATTTATGTGATCATCGCAGAACGGCTTGAGTACAATCATGAGTACAAAGTACATACGGTTACTTATCATATCGAATGTCGCATAATTGGAAATCTATATAGTTTCCCCGCTACAAACAATAGATAAATTAAGAGAAATAATAAACTGGTGAATTTGATGCGAGTGAGAGAGAAGTGAGCCTATATTGAATTGAATTTATCTGAAGAGATAAATCATTTATTTTAAAATATCTGTGTAGAACGACAAAATAGTTGGAAAAAAATATTATGCATATATCTTTCAGTTTTAACGAAGCAAACACATTTATACCGAAAATGCAAATTATTTTTGTCATAAAAGTGAGAACACGTTATGCTGCGTCAAAACTTTTTGTGGATTTATAGTTTGCGAAATTGAATTCAAAGTCTGTTTGAATTCAAACTTGTACATGTTTTAAATTTCTTTCCATGCTAGCATTTTAATGTACTTATGATTTCATGTACTTAAACTCAATTTGTATTTTTATTGTTATTGAGAAATTATAAATCATATTCTAAAAATTAAAAAAAAATTAAAATTAATATATCTTTATATAGTATATATAAAAGGAGAAAATAAGAGAGAAAAAAATGAGAAGAGATTAAAACTCGAAGAATTAGAAATGAATTTTACGCAAAATAAATATTTATCAGTCACATCCTCTTACAATTCGCTTATTCTTTACATAGTTGATTCCTTGAGAACAAATAAGAGAGTCTATTAAAAGAAGTTAGAAATTTTCAATAGTCAATTGTATGTACTTTATCAATACATAGCGAGAGAAAGTATACTAGCGGTGATATCTGGAAAGCAATATAAACACGTATAAGAAATATGTTTATTGTTGATGCAATAATTCCAGAGTCTAGAGGTCTGCACGTCCTCGCGTCCAAAGGCACAATCGAACTTAGCTTAGATATATCATGCACGAGAGTTTAGGTTTGAAATATTAAAAAAAACACTTAATATTTTTGTCATTCTTAAAAATACGTTTAAACATGAACACATAAATAGTCTAATGCAATTTAATTGTAAACAAATATTAATATTCTTTCTTGATTTATATCTATCATCCCCTGAAGTTTATCCCATGGATACATCCTGATATACTGTAGATCTTGTATACTATATTTTGATGAAATTTTTGAACTCTCGTGCCGAATTTGAGTAAGAGACAGATATTTGTGTGTTAGATTTAAAAAAAAAGTAAAATAAAATTACAAATTTTTGGATTGTGCAGACATACCTCTATCAAAGTTATTCTACAATATACATGTTTCTAGACGTTTAATTTTTTCATTCAGTTACAATATACAATATATATCACAGGCTTTTTGTAAAATCAGCCTTTTATGAAAAGTTGAATTTGCATATATATGTATATATATATATACAAGCAAATAAAACTTTTAAAATATCAGAGAACGTTCAATTCCAGTATAGTATAATTTATTGTTCATTATGCATTCGTACCAGAGAGAGAGAATATTGTTCTATAAACATTAATTGACTTCTACTTCATTCTTGAAAAATGGAATGTAGAGATATAAATTTCAATTTATAGATGATTATTATAAAATAATTGATCAAGACACAAACTTAATAAAGCCAAAGTTTTTAGATTCACGACTTTGTGAAAAGATTATCTGGTAGCAAAAGCAATATAATATAGTGCAAAGTACGAACGTATACTTCGCATTTCCAATGTCGAATTAACATAAATAACTTGCATTTTACACCACAGGTGGATGTATATAATTATATTTTGATTACAAAATTATAAATCTTAATTCGTAATATGTGTTGCTCGAAAAATTTATTATATATATATATAATTTTACAAAATTATAATTTACAAAGTTTGTTATACATAATTTTAATTAACACACGCTTTCAAATTTAACTATGCTAAGGATAAGCAATAATTAGTGAAGTATTAACAGAAAACCTATAATTGCATTTTTGAATATTACATATTTTTTTAGGTTCTTAAATGTACACACAATTCATTATGAAATAATTATATATTAGATAAATAAATAATTTATTTACATCTCCATGTGATTGAAAATGCGTTGTTATCGACATAACTAACATACTTAAAAAAAGTAGTTGTGATTTACAGGTTGTATAATGTATTAATAGAAACCGTTGTAGAGAATACAACGCGATACAAGAGAAATAAAATATCTTCGAAAATATATATTATGTCTAATCAATGATTGACAGTAATATGTGCCAATATATATTTAATTGAAATTAGATTTTCGCATGTTTATTCATGCATGTTTATACTATTTACTGCAACTCACTATTTCTTTTCTGCAAGAATATTTCAAGGTTGTACTTTTATGGTTCACACTACTTATTTGTTGCTGCTCTCATTATTGCAATGGAGCTTCGCTTTCCTGAGTGTAACTCTTTACCCTGCTGAATTTAAGAGGTGGATATCTTCCGCCGATTGGCGAAGCTCTGAATTCTCTTACAGATGGTTCCTTCAAACAAATCTTTGCTTCTTGTCCGTTTTTATATTTTGTGAAAATACTATAACTGATCCATTTTAATTGTGAATTCACTCTTCTATGATGATTCTGTATCTCGAATTCCTAGAGACATGCATGTCAAAACATAGTGAAATAATCTTTGTATACATAAATCTCTCAATTTCAGATATATGCTTCAGTTTTAATAAATACTTGCAATAATTTTAATAAATACTTACAATAAATAAATACTTACAATGTGGAACGTTTGTTCTCCGCTATCATGCACTGCCTCTCTTTTTTTTCTTCTGTAGGCGAAATTAATTCCTTTAGCTTCTTGTCTTTTCAACACTAGCGTAACATAATTATCATGTAATCTATAGTGACCAATCAAAACTGATGTGTTGCGTGGTATGCGGTTACGTAAAAAATTTACGCAATTTTGAGCCTCATCAGTTGATGTCAACATTAAAACTCTTCCTTCAGGAAAAAATCTAAATGCATTGATAAAGAGCTTAAATTTATAGCTCTTTTACTTACGTTGGCAATCATATTAATGATACCAAGATAATATAAAGCAAAAAATCATATAAATTATTTACACAATTAACAAATATATCGAAATTTACCAAAATATATCAAAAAAAAATTTTTTCTTTTAAATTCATAGATTAATATATAGTTGTAAATTTCAATCATTTATTATTCATCCATTTTTTGTGAAAAAAATATATATGATTTCTCACTTTGGATTTTGTAAATCACTTTGTAATATAAAGCTGCAGACACAGAAGGCTTAGTACAAATACAAGCAATAACATTATACTGAGAAGCAGTTATATACCTCAGGTACCGGAAATACTCAACGAGATGCCACGGTCTATAAAAACGATCTTGAAAATTATTTTCTCCATCGCGAATATAACTTGTTTTATTAATGTAACATCCGTTGTATCTTAATCTAGGCCGTTGCAAGTACATATCCCTCCATGATTGGTACTTTGGCTCGCAAGTACCACAATTCATACCCCATACTCTATCAACAGCGATTTCAAGTTTCGATTATATTAATCAATAACGCTAATATTTATTGATGCCTACCTAACGCACGCCAATCGCCAGATTTCTGCATCTCGCGCAGATATGTAAAATCCACGGCATACTCTTGAAAACATTTCTAAAGACCGGAAATCTAGATCAGAAGACACAACCCATCTTAGAATGTAGAGTACTATCTCCATTGGTAAAGCACATATATGCGTTGTCTGAAACACATTAATTTTCACATGCAATTATAATAGCTAAAAAATTAACTTATAAAATATATCTGTATAAAATACTTACACTTTGTTCAAATTTCGGAAAACATACACATTGATTGCGATTTACAATTTTAGACAATTTCAAAAACAAGTCAGTTTCTTTTTCATCAGCTTCGTTATGATTTTTGCTGTCATTGCTAGTTGAGAAATCATTGTCTAATGTATCAAGGTTGTCATCGGAATCAAATCTGTCTCTTGTTTTTGCTTTAGTCGATTCGTACAAGCGGACTTCAATGTCAGGAACCAGTTGTACTGCACGCTTATAAAACTGGATTGCCTCGTAAAACTTTCTGCTCTGTTCATGTTCAATACCTTTGAGAAATAAATTCTTCGCCTAAAATAAACAATGTGATGCATAATAAAACTCCTTTTTTTAGAAAATAATTATTAATTTAGACAATAATTATTATACCCTGCTTTCAATAGAGGCTTCATCATTTGCAACTTCAATGCTAGGCTGTTTTGGTGAATATGTCTTCGATACATCACGCTTGGGTGATATTGTCAATTCTCGCTGCCACTGTTCCCTGAAAGACGTTAAGGCATCCTCAATGTTTGTTCCATCTTGCAAAGAAGACGCCTCCTCATCGCCTTCATCCATGTCATTGCTAGATTCACTGCAGTGGTTCTGCCAATGCATGAAGCAAGAAATAATTTAGTGACTAAAATGTGAGGCGAGGTATTATTAATTAATGCAAATTTAGTAAAGATTTCATATAAATGTTGAGTTTATATGAATGTTGTAGGTACATGACGTGATTGTTTATCAAGCACAGTATTAAATAAAATAAAATAAAATAAGTAAATAAATATATATATAATATAATAAAAATCCAAGTGTTCACTCAATTATTTGTTTTACGATGATATATTTCGAACGTAATTAGTTAAAAAAATATATATACACAAACATATGAGAACTTTGATCTATCATTATAATAGATTTAAAGGGACCCACACAGAATTAATAACACTAAAAACTCCAGAGATACTCGAATGCTAGATTCTACAGAGCAGAATACATGACAACGCACATGTCTGACGCAATTATAAATAATACAAATGATATACAACACGTATATATTGCGTGCCGATAAAAAGTTGGATGAGGTTAGATCGCCAGCAAACATTTCGGCATTCGATAGCACGTTTATTTAGCAACGACAGTCACGAGCGATTGCATTTCCACGTACCATTTTTCTTGCCGATCAATTTCTGTCAGCTTCTTCCCTTCAGCGCATATACTCTCGGTCGGAAAAGCGTACGACACAGCGAAAGCACAATTTCGCCAATAGTACCGCCGCCATGGTTCTCGCCTTTCTGCGCGTTTTTCGCGGCAGGCGAAGGTCGTTGCGCGAGCAATAAGATCATTCGACCTCGCTGATGCAACGTAAACACACACGTATATTGTTCTCTCTCTCATCCCTATATATTTTACTAGATGTCCTAATTTTTTTGATAATTAATTATCAAAAAAAACATCGTGTTACAAATTCGCTTTTTCCTTTCTTCGTCTCCAGCTGTTTATCTCGTATGTATATATATATATATATATATATATATATATATATATGTATGTATAACATCTGTCTATTTAAATCTATAATATGAATTTAGTTATAGATGAAAATATATTGGTCCTTGAATAAGTTCTCGCTGTTTCTTAAAAGATGGCGTAGCGGCACTCTGTGCATGGAATTTCGTACGGAAACGCATCAGCTAAGTAGTACTATATGTAACCTCAAATTCTAGTAGATACAGTTTACCACAGTGTCAACCACGTGTTTAATTACCTATTGCGAAAATGTCTACTTTTGTGCCAAATAAAGTGTTTTTGCGGGGAATTTTATTGCACTGCTTTATTCAAAAGAAATCTGCAGCTGAAGCACACAGAATTCTTGTTGAAACATATGGTGACAATGCTCTGTCGAATACGACATGCAGAGACTGGTTTAGGCGCTTTAAAAATAATGACTTTGACCTTGAAGATAAAGAACGTTCTGGAGCACCGACAAAGTTTGAAGACGAAGAATTGGAGGCATTGCTTGATCAAGATCCATGTCAGACGCTAGTAGAGCTCGGGAAAACATTGCAAGTAGATGCGTCAACAGTTTCAAAACGTTTAAAAGCGTTAGGAATGATCCAAAAGCAAGGACATTGGGTGCCGTATGAGTTGAAGCCGAGAGACGTTGAACGACGTTTTCTCATGTGTGAATTGCTGCTTCAACGGCATAAAAGAAAAGGTTTTCTGCACCGTATCATCACTGGAGATGAAAAGTGGATTTACTACGACAATCCAAAGCGTAAAAAATCGTGGGGTACGCCCGGTCACGCATCAACATCGTTCCCAAAACCAAATATCCACGGTTCCAAGATTCTACTCTGCATTTGGTGGGATCAGCAGGGCGTAATTTATTATGAGCTGCTTAAACCTAATGAAACTATCACGGGAGCTCGCTATCGACTTCAGATGATGCGTTTGAGTCAAGCTCTAAAAGAAAAGCGGCCACTATACGGGCAGAGACACGACAAAGTGATTTTGTTACATGACAATGCTCGGCCACATGTGGCAAAACCAGTCAAAACTTACCTGGAAACGCTTCAATGGGAAGTTCTACCTCACCCGCCGTATTCACCGGACATAGCCCCCTCGAATTACCACTTGTTTCGGTCGATGGCGCATGGTTTGAGCGAGCAGCGCTTCCATTCTTTCGAAGAAACCGAAAAATGGGTCGATTCATGGATTGCGTCAAAAGATGAATCGTTTTTTCGACGGGGGATTCAATTACTGCCAGAAAGATGGGAGAAAGTGGTCTCTAATGATGGACAATACTTTGAGTAAAGTTATTGTAAGCCTTATATTTTAAATAAATGTTTTTTTTTAACAAAAAAAACAGCGAGAACTTATTCAAGGTCCTAATATATAACTTTTTAACGTCAAATTTAAATTTAAAAAAATTACAGTTTAACATTTTTAGATATGAAAATTATATAATTTATTATTATTATTAATTTTATTTCAAATTTTATTTCCCAAGATATATATAATTAAATTTGAAAATTTAATCTTATTTTTATAATAATAAATCAACAAAAAGAAATAAATAAAAATTATTGCAAGAGTTTCCGTAATTAAATTTTATCTTATCATATCGATCAATTTAATTATATATATTTTATCGTATCAATTTTAGATATTTTATATCAATAAAAATGAATAAAAATTATTGCAATATTTTTGTAATTAAATTTTATTATTATTAAATTATCTTTTACAATTAAAAGAAAAAATAAATAATTTTTATTCTATAATAAAAATAAAGAAGGTAAATTTTATTTTTCAAATTCTATTTAAGGATAAATATTGTATAATTATTGGATAAATATAATTATAATTGTTGGATAAATTGTTGGATAAATATATGTATAATTATAATCATCTATTCAAATTTTTTACTCAAAAATTATTATTAAGATATTACTTAATCATTAATAATAAGATTCTATATTGCATTAAAGAAAATGTATTTTATTACACCTATATGCATATAAAAATATAATATTAATAATACAATACACGTGTATTATATAAGTACTTATAATTATACTTAAATTAATTAAATTTAATTATAATCTAGTATCGCTATATCTAATATACATTATTAGAATGAGATGAAACATGCAATTGCAAAACATGTATAGGTATATGTATATATATACTCTTGGTCCATAATTTATATTATAGATATAATATATTCAATCCTTTCTTATTAAGAACTTTCTGAATTACAGGTCTTCCAAGTTCCTCGCAAAACGCGCGGGAATGCGACGAAAAATGGGTTACGAGAACGCGCGGTAATATTCAAAAGAGCCGAAAGTAACAGAAAACCGCCGAATCTATCGCGTACAAGTATTCGTGTGCGTTAACATCGGCGAGGTGTACGTGACCCCACCTTTCTTTCACGAAACTATCACCTACCTACCTACCTACGGAGATCATCTTTCCCGAGTAAAAGCCGAGAACCGTACGAGTGTGGGCACAGACAGCATCATGCGCTTGGTGAGTACAAAACTCATTCAAACTGATACCAGCCTTTCCACTTTTGTTCACAACTTTCCTCTAAATTTCTCTTCTCTCTCTCTCTTTCTCTTTTCATATCTATTACGTTGCACATGTCGATCTTTTTTCCCACGGTGATGGATTTTACGTGCGATTCAAGTGACAGTGCGACTCGATCAGATGAGTGCAAAAGTGATTATCAGCATTTGAGGGCAACTACCCAAGTAGCAAACTGACGTCAGGTTTAACGTCTAATGACGTTATTCCCCAGATAGCACTATGTCCAAAATTGGTGCATCATTAAGAAATCTTTAAGACACATCTTTAAGAAATCTTATGATATATCTCAAAGACATCTTAAAGATGTCTCATGCACTAACTTTGGACATTATTATCTAGGTCGACGTCAAAATGACGTACTCTTATTGCTACTCGGGTGAATATAGTATCGTAAATATACGTATAGTGCGAATAAAAAGCGTAAATATGTATTTTTAAAATATTATAATAATTGATAATCTCGGATGTCTGAAGCTCCAGTTGGGATGCTGATGAAAGAAGAAATCTAACAATGTGCGGGAAAACTGTATAAGTATCTTTTATTAGCCGAAATGATATAACCAGGATAATCCAAGTTCGATCATTTAGATGATTATTTAACGAAATTATTCGATGATAACATATAATCTTTTGTGTTCCCGACTCAAAGATTCGTATCGGTATTCGCGAGTTTCTACTTGGAGGAAACTTGCGGATGAGCATTTCACGCGGTGGCTACTTTCTTCTTCCATTATATATACGTTTCGCGATTTCCAGATATATCGCGCGGAAGAGCTTTGCTTTGCTAGTTAACGGTTTCCGATGGCTACTTAATGAATCGTTGACTCGATCCGAGATCTCCCAAGCGACCTGTCAATCCGATATTTCCGGTAAATCTTGGTTGTTCGCCCGGTTAAAATGCACTGCACTAAAATTGCATGTAGGCCAAACAGCTTCGAATTGCAGTCTATTATTTATGGCATGCGATTTGCAAAATGATACATTTGGGAACTAATATGAATGCTACGCACTGTGTATTATTCTAATTACATGCCATAAATTTCAATGTATTACAAACGTCGCGTAGTGCGACTTTAATTATACGCCTATTTATTTAATGATATATTTGATTAGTATACACAATAACATATGTAATTAAATATTGCGATTTTAAAACTTTCTAGAACATCATTAACCTTACTCTTAAATTCCGCATATCATTTAAATTACATTGAATAAAAATTCGTAGTAAATGCTAATAAATTTTTTTACCTCATACGCGCGTGATTTTTAATTTCGAAAGAGGAAAGCAAATAATAAACGTCGCGTCAATTTATAGCCACTGATTCGGATAAAAGGTGGATAAATGGTGATTCCTGCTGGTCTCTCCGCAATATTCGTCTGTCGGAATCCTCTTTACACTCGCGGCAATTCACCGTGAAGTATGCTAGCTCATTATGAATCGCATTAATGAATCGACGCGCTCTGTTGAAGTCGCTGGACTGTCAGTAGATCAATTTCTATTCTCCTAGATGCAACACGCGAGCGTCATAAATATGCACTCCTAACGACCCAGTTGTCATGTAGTACGGCCGTGTGTGCTGTTAATTAAGGTCGAAATCAGAGTTTCGCGAAAGGATCTGAAATTAAGCGAGGATCGATATACGCGTGTCAAGCCGATAATAATCGAAATCGATCGGGTTTTGTAAAAAAACTTTGCATAAAGGAAATAGATAGCGAAATCACTCGAATGGAAAGATTTGATTCTTCTCGTAGTTTAGATGCATACGATGTTCTCTCTTTCCACGACCTAATGTAGGTCGACCTAATGGACCGGAAAGAAGATTAATACTATACGTATATATAGTGTGCGTTACAAGAGTAAGGCTTTTCATTTGAATTTCATTTATTGAAATCGGCACAAGGCGCGACGGAGAAATGAGATATATTGCTCTGAAACAATCTTTGATCGAAATGAGAGGATTCAATGGATCGTAAAAAGTATCATTTATGATGCATCCTCCGTTTTTACTCCGAATCGTTATTTTTTTTTTACCTCGACTGTCGTAATAGGTAACGGTAAGGGAAAATCTTCAGGCATCCTTATTTGAAATGTTCTATCTTAATGCATGGTCACATCAACGAGATACTTCTGGGCGGCGCGCGTTTCGAGAGAAAGTAATTAGGGATCGATGACACGGAAAGATGGGTGTGACGGATATACCTGCGGCGCAAGTTAAGTTCGATGACCCACGAAAGTAGATGGCATCTTTTTCGAGCTCCGCGGGAAGAAAGTTCTTCTCTTCTCCGGTTTTTCCCTCTCCCTCCCTTATTCATTTCGGTAGCGAGATTCATTCCGAGAGATATAGAGGATGCCGAAGCTGTACATGGTAGAAAAAAAAAAGAAAATCCCGTTACACGAGGGCCTAAGTCTGTTTTCTTACCTCCCAATGCAGAGTGAGAAGAAGATAAACTCTGAACTAGTGCAGCTGGTTCAGCCAAGATCTTACGAAACGGTAGCCGACAATGCCGATCTCGTAAGAAGCGCTTTGCACGAGAGAACTTATCTCTGTTTGGATTCAGAACAGAACACGTAATACGCGCAATCGGAGAGGTTCCCCGCCCACGTGACTCTCGAATAAGATGAAGAAAAGTTCCGGTCATTTCGTAACCGATGCATTCTGATCGATCCCGCGGTCAGCCGGATCGTGTCCGACTATGCTAGAAAACGCGCGCCGTAACATTTACGACTTCCTTAATAATCTCGAAGAGGAGGCAGCTTCTCGGTCCGTTGAGTCGAGCACTTTTCGCATCGAAAGTGGAAAGCCCCTCGGCATCCTTTCTGAACTTTTCTCTCTCATCGAGGCCTCTCGTAAAACCTCTCGTCGACGTCCGACATCACGTACGGCGTCGGAACAATTGTTGTTTAATCGGCTCCCACGCTTCGAATTTTTCCTTCTTGCCTTCACCGGCCAAGCTTATACAGAGAGTCTCAGACTTACCGTACCATCCGTTTATGGGAGACTCCTAAGGTTATTTGGAGACAATTTTTCCACATCGAAAATGTCCAGGCACCAATCATTTTCGAGTTGTAAACGATTGAAGAAATAAAAGCTTTTTTGTAAACTAAGTCTTGTGGAAATAAATTATTAACAAAACTATGTTTTTTAGTTAATGTCAGGTGAAGTTTACTTTAATCGAGTTTTAATTTAATTAGTTACAAAGATACGTGATTCCAAAAATTATGACCTTTCTCGACATTTTCGCCGAGGAAAAATCGTCTCCAAATCATGTGGTACAGTAAGTCTGGGACACCTTGTATACCTCGATGACTTTTCAACTCTGGAGAGCTTTCGATCGCTGTCAGCGCGAATAATTGTTCGAAATATTCAAGATCGGAGTATCTAAAGAAAAGTGTCGAGAGATCAATTGTCGATAGACTTGAGAAACGATACGGTCGATCTATACATGAATTATTTTCATCAGCGCAGAGACAGACGGTTCTGCGACGGAGGCCCTCGATCTCTCGAAACTTTCACTCTAAACTTGCAATACGATATGGTGTTTTGCGCGCTGTGCATTCGCGTTTAATTGCATTCAGGCGCATCGGCTCATCTTCTCTTGGTTGGGTTTGTACGTTATTCAACGCCAAGGACTCGTTGTATAATCGAAACGTACTTGGCGACACTTGCTGGCGAAGTGCACTTTCACGCGTCGCTTCTATTTCCGCGTTTCTGTACACGAAATCCGAAATCAACAAGATATCAAGATACACCGTGATGCAACCAGCGGAAAGTTGATTATTTGTGAAAAACCGCGAAATAAATCTTGTTAATTGATTGCGTAATTTTTTGGGGGGGAGAAGAATAAATTTTGATTATCTCTTGAATGATCTCCTTTTTTCTGTATCTAGTTATCTCTTATCTAAAGTTGAATTGTCTTTGCTTTTGATTTCAACTGATGAAATAATCTGTAAATAAAACAGAAGCAACACACAACTAATTCGATATGCTTCTGCATTTCATTCTTTCTAATTTTATTTAGCGAGAGATCTTTATAAGATTTTTACATCATAGAAATTGGTTGCACTTGGCAGAGAAAACTGATTGTTACTCGATAGTCGAAGCATCGTTGTCTTCACTAAACATGATTATTAGATGTGAAATCGCTAAGCGGTCAAATTTGATTGGAGTATATTCTCGGATCCAACCAATTAGCTTCAAATAGTACGAGTATTATAGATCCTAACAGTTTTCTTCGCTCATTACAAGACCTTGCTCATTATTTGCCTAAATTGATCTCGAGATAATGTATATTTTTGCACAGGAAACGTATAATGACAATAATCGAGATAATTTAGCGGTAAGTGTACTTAAGCCCAACATTCTTTGAATCTTTTATGAATTAATGCAGTATTCGTATAAGTTTCTTATTATATTGGAAATCGATTCTTCTGCGTAATAAAGATTTTCAAGATAGTCATTGTGCACCAACCTTTCAATTTCTAACATTAAATTTCTTTATAGGCAATTTTCTAGTGAATCGAGTCTGCTTAAGCAACTTATAATAATCTTTGTAGCTCCTGTTTTAATTATCATTTTTTATGCAAATTTATTAGACGATATGTAATGTTTAATACAATTAAGTCTTAATGCCAACTTTAATTTATTTATTCACATCGATATCAGACATGGAAAAATCGAGCTCACATTGTTTCGTTTATTGTGAAATTTTAAATATTGCTGGAGAAAATTCTACTTTTTTTGTTCAAATGGAATTTTGTTTTTCATACTCCAGAAATTATGGTAAAGATTCATAAAATCGAAGAGAAAAGTGAAAATTTATTCTTCATTAACATTTATGAAGAAAATATTCTGCTTGTAGTCTACATTCCACGCGACCGTTCGTGTTTCAATTTTGATCATCCGAGGAGTATGTTATCCTCATTTTACGAGATAATTGGGAGCGTAAAATAGTGGTTATCTTTACAGATGACGACGAAATATTTTCTAATTTTATGCCTATTTGCCTGTTTTCAAATTATAAAATACTCTAAAATTTTTGCAATCTACAAGTCATGTCAAAATTCAAAATAAAAATTTATTCCAAATTTTCTATAACATATTTTAATAAGTATATGTGCATCTCGAAATTTTTTATGTGTATTCCCAGACAGTACCAAATCCAAAATCGGCGCATATAAGATATCTTTAAAATATTTTTTGGATATCATCATAAGATTTCTTAAAGCTGTCTTCAAGATTTCTTAATATCTTATGCGTCAATTTTGGACTTGGTGCTGTCTGGATTTTGTTGAAATATTTTCGTTGTTACGTGACACGTAAAATTATAAATAGAATTTTGTCCCGAACTTTTGTTTCGCCGCTAATTATTGTCCAGATCAGGAAGTCTCGCTCTCACTCGGTGTTAGCAAGGGGAAAAAATGCGGTTGGGCGTGTTACTCTGTTCGGATGATGTTGCGTCAAGTCGATTCGTAATCCGGCACAAAAGGCCAAGCCTGCGAGTTTGTAACGACGGTATTTCATGCTCATCACGCCGGCAAGAGTCGAGTGAAGCAAGTTCACGAGCGGTGCGCATCCTCGACATACTCTGCCGAGTGAAAGTGCCGTCACATCAGCTCTCGCGGTTTCTTCTTCCTCATCTTCTGCTTCCTCTACGCGCTGGTGATGTTACGCGCGAGCCGGATCAATGTGACGAGTTCTCTCACGGTGTTTCCCCACTCCCGATCGCGTGAACCAGACGTTATGCTCGATCTCATCTCGCTTTTTTTTTCTTTCTCTTTCTTCGGTTAAGCGACAGGTTTCTCAATAATCATTGTCACATATCGTATATACATTTCTGCCTGGCAACTACTATCGTAAATCTTGACAACTGTCGCGATGCGATCTCTTATTTAGAGAAATGTATCGCAGTTGGAACTTCCCACAAAATGATTTTATTATATTTATATATTATATAAAGCTTTTATATTTTTTATATTTTATTATTTTATATATATATATTTTTTAATATGACGTTTATAAGATTTCTTTAGCATTTGTTAATGATTAATTTTTTACATTTTCGAAAAATTAATTTGCCTTTTTAAATGATATAGAAAGCATCTGAAAGAATGATTATAATAACACAGATTAATAAACAAAAGTATAAAAATTACAATTTCTTGTAGTTTGTTTATCAAAATTTTGACGTAATAATTTGGACATTGACATTATTATTATATAAAGTGAAAAAATTACAGGATCACTCTCAATGATTACTCTCTCTTTTTTTTGTATTAGAAAAAAATTTTTTTGTTGTAATTGGAGTTTGATTATGTAATTGGAGCTTGACTGTCTCAGCCTGATTATTATCGTGAAGGAAATAACTACGACAGATGTTGATTTGTCGCAAGGTACTTAATTGCGACTTTCGATTCATTAAATATTCGTCAACAGTTTCGACACTCGGGTATTATTATAAAAAAGTGTGCAACAAAACAAATTGATCTAATACTTGTCAGTTGATAGAATTTCGGACTCGTAAATTTTGTGTTACTCGCTTCATTAAAATCTTTAATATAAGCAATTATAATTTTAATATTACTCGTAAATTTTGTGTTACTCGCTTCATTAAAATCTTTAATATAAGCAATTATAATTTTAATATTAATAATACGTGTGCGCTTAATTAATACAAGAAAAGGGAAGGAGAGAGAATAAAGCGAGAGACTCTATACGCAATATTTTCTATCGCGCATTAGTAATATCAATTTAGCGATTCAGCTATTTTATGTTAGGCGCGGTGAAACTCGCACTCTCTGCGCTAGAAAATGACGGGTCAAGAGTTCGCGACGTGAAAAAATCATCTGCATAGTCAAAGATTTGCGATAACCAAATATGACACGGATCTTTTTAACAACCTGTCGGGACAATTCATCGCAACAATTCATACTCGTCTTCCGCCTTTATATATTTTTATATATATGTTTCCCAGACTTTTACGAGGGTTTTTGCGGCTATGATTAATTAGCGACTCCGCGATTATTATGCAAAGAATTACTTAAGGGGCGTCGTGTCTATAAATCCGAACGACACGTGACAAGGCGGTGACACTTGTCAAGCACGACGACGATTGTGTCGAGTCTTTCGAAAGTGAAACCGACCACGTCAAAGCTGCAACACCGCGAGTCAGTTCCAACCGGATCATTATTATTAAGTGGTATTATTATTAAGACACCTGCAAAGTCGCAGAGTGCGTTCCTCCCGCTTGTGTACGGCTGAGAAGATTAATGAGAGATGCTGGACCAAACGGGAGGAGGACGCCCGTGCGAGTTTAGAAAGTTCCCCAAAGTTGTTCTAGAACGAGATACGTGTCCTAGCTTGCTGTCATATTTTTACCTCCGGCGATCCGCGAATTTATAATTGCGCAGGAAAAAGTCGGCAAATTTGTATGTGGATGAGTTGTTCGAGTTTCGAGTGAGCGGAAGACTCTGCGAACGTTTCCCCAAAATTAATATTCCAAAGTCTCGTTCCTGAGAAATTTTAATGCGAACCAATTAACCATTAGATCGAGAGGAAGCGAAGATAGGAAACGGAATATAATTTTATAACGCAGAAGCGCGCGCTAAACGTGGCAATTCTCGCGTTTTATTGTGTGCAAATTACAGGGATAGTTTACAGGCGCGCATCTCTAACACTTTCCTTTTGCTGGCAAAAACGTTGGTACTTAAGCGCGGGCTCTCGTTGTGCGAAGAATACATAATTCGATGATATACCATCGTTGACCCCCCGGCGTGTCGTTCCGTTGTCTTTTCCCTGGGTGTAACTTTCTTTGCAAATGTCAGAGGTCCCCGTATAACGCAGCGCAGCTGGCGCTTTTCTTCATCTTTCTTTTTTATTTATTTCTTTATTTTTTTTTCGTCTACACGCTTATGAGAACGCTTAATATTCTCGCCAGAAATTCTCTTCGATTTTTCCATCTTCGCGAGACTTATGGTTGACAGTACGTCAATAACTCTTCTCTTCTCACGTATGCGAATACATCATATCTGGGCTCCCACCATAGAGAGATTCGAATAAGCGGGATGAAAGTTCAAAGCTTGTGATCGCTTCTGTGGTGAGTACCTCGTAACCTTTTCAGGGCGTAGGCGTTCGTGCCATTTGCTGAATGGATTACATTCCCAATTCCTGATTTGAATAATTTCCGCACGACGAATCGTGCAAACCCTCGTCTAAGACGGACGATATCCGAATGCGGTTTTAATGACGAATGATTAAGCACTGTCCGCGACGTCCTTCACGCTACTCGTCACGTGTGTATCATTAGGAAGATGAAAGGATGAGACGTTGCCATTAATCGAAGGTGGCACTTTTCCAATCTGTCCGTAATTATAGGAGATGATGCGAAGAGTAGCCTTAGATGTCAAAGTCAAAAATGCGATGATTATTAATGCATTGATATTAAATAGAAATTATTCACTGTGTGTAGACTAAGGAATAATAAATCGAATATATTAATATCCATTTTATAATTTTAGCAAAAGGACGAAAAAGATTACTTTTAATACTTTATATTTCGAATTAAACAAAATTAATATCAAAAATATAAAACAAATAATTCTTAAAATTCAATAAAAGTTGAAATTGAACGTATAACGCAAGGATCTTAAAGAGATCTTAAGTATCTATAAAAGTCTTTAATCTTGATTATCGGCAGCGATGAAACAAAGCTTCGATCTATCAAGAGTTTCTCTCCATTTAAATACCAAAGTTTATTCCCAAGATGATCTGTACACGTATGTAATTAAAGATACGCGCTTCTAATTGCATTCGGTTTCTAACCGAAGAAACCATAATGAAATCCATCTGTTTCTTCTTTTCTCGATCGATGCGCATCTTCTTGTAGCTGGTCGAATGGTTATCCTTGACAATGAAAATTTATGGTGCGAAACAAGATTAGCAGATTAGCATTCTAAATATGCATTTGTATTTAATAATAATATAATAAGCAGAGGAAGATATATATTTTATAGCTGGTATATGAGAAATGATTAATAGGTAGCTTAAAATATCTGTCGAAAGCTTATTACACTTGTTACACGCGGTCTTCAACTTTCTGAGAACGTGTCTGCACATTTAATTATTCACGCGCGTGTCTCTTCGGCGACGTCAGGCGTGTATGTGTAATTACATAAAACATGCAAACTATTGGTCTCGCTCGCACGACTCGAAAGCTGGTAGATATGTATTTACCGTGTTTTTAGGAGGAGAAAATCGCCTAGGGGCTTCTCTTCCACTCATAACGGGACTAACCGGAGATAGACTGAACGAACAAACTTTAGCTTTCGATCTCTCTCGAATCAATACAGTGAAATCATATACAGACTCCTATTCTTATCATAGATAATTTTGGTCGATGCATACATTTTACTATTTCTTCGCTTTATTTCGTAGCAAAGAAGATATTACTTTCCAATAATATCAGTCATTGTAACATCAACATATCTCTGTAACACAATATTATGTTAATATATTTATTGTAACTTTGCAGGTAGCCATAACGATTCTACTAGCAGTAGTAAGCTTGGCTAGATCTCAGAAATCTGAGATCTCAGCCAAGGATCTCGAATCTGCGCCGGCTCCGGTAAAGCTCGACAAGAACCTGCGACAAGCATTGTTGAAAGCTCTGACGGAATTGGAAGCCGCATCCGCGGAGCAACGAAAGGACGATGACGACAAATCGCTCATCATGACCATCGAAAAGACCTTCGAAGACGTGGTCAAGAAAAATCTGAATGCAAATGTCGGCGTAATACCGAAAGCTTCCTTCTCGTTTGACGGTTTCCCGGGAGATGAGGAAATTCCCAACGAGGAGAAGTTGCAGAATTCGAGTTCCCTCGAATCAAAGAGATACGTTTCTCCGAGTCCGATGATCATCGAAAAGGCTAGTCGCGATGACGCTAGAAGCTTTCACGTGCACAACGTAATTGTACCGGATAAGAATCCGTCGACTTACTTGCCGCGAGGCGAATCCAAAGTGGATTCGTTGGAAGCGAGGAGTCTGAAGAGTTCCGGCTCAGCTTCGGTCAACAGAGTCCAGAGTGTGACGTTGAAGCCGATCACGCAAGTGTCCGAGAGTTTGACGCAAAGCGCTAGCAATGGAATTGCGAACGCAAATGCGTTGGTTACGCCAAAACCAACCGCATCTAGTCCGACCGTTTCGCCCAAAAACAATGTCACCACTAATAAGGACAAATCTCCAGCGGAGGAAGTGAAAATTTTTCAGGCACCTTTGGTGGCGGCCTTTACGGTTCAACAGGACGAGCTCGGTATACCGAAGAGCGTCGTGCCGATTTACAGGCAATCCGGCGATGGACAAGCTTTGACTCTTCAGGAACAATTGGAGTTTAAGCAGAAATTATTGGAACAGCAGCTGGCGGAGCTGCAACAACAGCAGATCCAGCAGACTCAGTTTCTCATTAGGCAACGCCAGCTCTACGAGCAGCAGTTAAGACAGAAGCAGCAGCAACAGTACTTGCAAGAACAGGCTAGAATCAAGCAGTTGGAGGAGCAGGCCAAGATTAAGCAATTGGAAGAGCAGCGCTTGAAGCAGCTAGAGGAGCAGAGAATTTATCGTTTGCATCAGCATAATCATTTCCCTTTGCAGAAGCAGCACATTTTCCAACAACAGACAAACGTGTTGCCGCTTCAGTCGTCTCTTCAGGAGCCTGCTGTTCATCTCCAGCCGAGCGTGTCTCTGGAACTTCCCAACGCCGCCGCGCCACCATTATTCCGTACAAATTATCAAGAACAGCTGCAATTCCAACAGTTTCGCCAACAACCTCAGCAACAGCAGCAGCAGCAGCAGCAGCAGCGATTGCAACAGAACTTCGTCTCGTTTCCTACCGACTTTCAGCCGCCTGTGGCTTCGGCCACTAGATTCAACAGGCAGGAGGCTTTCAACGCGGTTGGTAATTTCGGCTTCAACCTGGATAACAAGCAACCACCTCCGTCGAGGAATACCTTCAACTTTGCCGCGCCAACGAGAGCTCCTAGTACCTTTATTTTTAATCCTTACACGCAATTCAATCAGATCCCGACGAGAGGCCAACAGACGCCCGCCAAACAGATTCAGCATTTGCTTTATCAGTCGGGCGTCGTCGGCAAATTGGGTAACGTGCAGGGCCCGGGTGCCGAGGACCTCAACATCGTGTCCAAGGTGTTGGCATTGAATGTTGGTGCGTTGCCCAACAAGAATTATCAATTTGTGAACAATCGCAGTAAGTTGGGCAGCGCGTGAAAATAGAGATAGATGAGCATAATCGATATAAGACTTTGACGAGTCGTGTAAATTATTACAGGACGATATTAGCAAGGTGAAATCGAGCTCTCTCTCTCTCTCTCTCTCTCTTCTTTCTCTCTTCCTCTCTATCCTATCATTTATCTTGCTCTTCTCTCTCTTCACCTTCATCTATCTTCTTTTCGTCTCTGCCATGTTCTTTCCATCGATATTCTTTAATTTCTCACAGGCTCTCTTTGGCTCTGATACACACACATACATTAAGATGCAAATTTATATATATATATATATATATATATATATATATATCATGCACATACACAAAAGAGCGACAATGAGAAATGCTTATTCACGACTCGCGAGAGAACGCAAGATGACTCGGTAAGTTCAACAGTACCATGACGATAGTAACCTTGAATACCAGCATCTTCGAGTGAAATCGAATCGATTGCCCTCATCGCGGTTACCTCCCGCGAGATTTTACTCTCCTGCGATCGTTTCTATATACGGTTGATAGGCGTGAGACAAGCTTCACTCCGGGAGGGAATTGGTATACTAACGAGGGAGTCGTTCTTTCCTCAACAATAAACGTAATGATATTAATTACAATTATATGTACTTTGAACAAGAACTTGTCGGTAGCAGTAGTGCGGCCTTCCCGAGCTCGGATTACGCAAGTTTGCATTTAGTTGCGACACAGACACTCTGTACATAGTTGTGCGACTTCAGTTTCACTTCCTCGTATCTATCCCTTTTGTGGAGGCACTTTCCTCCGCTCCATTCTTGATAGAAATAGCATTCACGCGATCGGGCACCGCCAACATCATCGACAATCGTACAAGAGAACACGCTCAATAGAAACAAACACGTAAGCTTACAATAACCGTAGAACTAAGTTTATATTTTAACAGGAAAAATTACTTTATATTTTAATATATAAAGAAAGTTTTGCTGGACTCACATCACTTATGTTATCGCATTCTACTTGGGTTTGATTATGATTATATTGGAGAACATGACGTGTAAAATTTAAAAAACTTAGGAAATTTGTAAATTTGTTCTTTTATATATTTTTTATCTATCTATTTATCCCTTTTCCAATTATATCTCTATCGAGAACTGTCAGATCCAAGTTTGCATCAAAGATCAAAACTCTACTGCTGGTCAGCATGTTCTTCAATTTGAATATCATATACGTTTTTTAAAGAGATTATTTATCTACTTGAAGATAACATATATGTATATCTATCTATCTCATTTTCTTTTCCAATTAGATTTTAATAGAAAACTGTTAGACCCAAGCTTGCATGAAAGACCAAAACTCTACCGCTATGGTTAGCACGTTCTCCAATTTGTATCGTATACGTTTTTTTAAGAGAAGATTATTTATCTACTTGAAGATAAAGTATATATGTATATTTATCTATCTATTTCATTTTCTTTTTCAATTAGATGTTGATGGAAAACTGTCAGACCCAAGTTTGTATCAAAGACCAAAACTCTACCGCTGGTTAGCACGTTCTACAATTTGTATCGTAGCCTGTATGTGTGTACATTGTTCGCATTAGCCTTAACATATAGAGAGCTCGCTCGGGGGATCAGAGGTCTCGCGAAGTCGTGCATCGAACCGCGGATTGAAAACGCTTCTTCTACTGTAAATAAACTTTCCCCGGGCCGCGGTATCCCTCTACACACAATACCGGTAAAGAAGCCGCCGACGCGAGAGAGACACATCTCGCGCGTGTATACGTGTATGTCCTCAATTTCACAAACGTTTGGCACAGATCCGTGATTTCACCCGCGAGGCAGGCGAATCGACGAATCTCGTGGGGAGACGTGGGATATCTCCTCTGTCTCTCATTAAATGTTTTTTTTTAGTTAGACATGAATAATTGTTAATTTTCTCGTCACATTTATCAGAAATGTGTTATTTAATTATTCGTCAGCTTAAATTTTCTCCTATGTGTTTCTATCAAGCTTTGTCTTGAAACTAAAATCGATGTTGATGCGATGCACTCTTGGCGAGAGCGACTATGTAAGCGAAAGTTGACAGCGATTCGTTCATAAATGCGAGGGGTCCTTTAACGAGCGCCAGCTGAGAGACTTGCGTGACTGAACATATATATAACATTAAAATATAAATTAACATTAAAATAAAATATAAATAAAAAGTATTAGCTATAATTTGCGCTTATAATTTATCTGATGCTGGATTGTATGAACTCTTGTATAAATGTTAATAAACTAATTTGTTTACAAAACATCATTATTATATTATTTTAGTCGTCGCTGTGTTCATTTGTATACTTATAACAAAGTTATAAATCAATTACTTTGATCGTACTTGCTCTTTTTGATAAGTAAATTAATATATGATTAATAAAAAAAAGTCGATAATATTCCAGAATATTAAAATGTTTTATAAATATTTAAAGCGTGTAAAACATTTTTAAGACATTTCTTTGAACAACGTGTATTAAATATCTAAACTTTTTGCGAAAGTTCTTTATTAGTTATTTTTAATTGATTGTGTCAAAATTAAATATATATATATATATATATATAAATTAAATACATACGTACATCACTGAAAATAATTGTTTTATAATATGTATTTTATGATAAAACGTTCTCGCGAGTCTCGTGATTTATTGAGTTACATTTTTCTGATATCTCTGACAATGAATTAAAACTTAATCTCTGATAATGAATTAAAATTAGAAACAAAGTAGAGAAAAAACTCTATGACATTTTAATGACATTTTTATATTGTTATTCTACAATGTTCCTAAATGTCAAATGGTGCGATTAAAATGTTGCTTCAATAGATATAAAGCGAAAACGGAGTACATGTATATATGTATATGTAAAAATGGCGAAAGTACAATGTTGCGCTACACGATACAGCGCGGCATTGTGCTTGTCATAAATATGTAAAATATACAATACATAAACATTAGATGAGTTTAAACACAATGACAGGAATAAGAAATAGCAATTGTAAAGATTTAGCCTATATCAGATCATGAAGATAAAAATTGAAATATGATCTATTGAAACAAAGAAATTTTTACATTTTGTTTTGATTAGTTCAATCCCAATCTTTAATTTCAATCTTTAACACCTATTGTTAGTCTGACACGGACAATTCCTTATAATTTCTTACGTTTAATTCTATATATATATATATATATATATATATATATATATATTTATATTTATATTTAATTTATTCTATATATATATTCTATATAGAAATATATATATATATATATTTCTTATTCTTTTATTATATCTCAGTCCTTACAATTAGTTGCTGATATAGACAAGAAAAGATTTGAAATTTGAAAATAGATATATATCGATAAGCGATATATATCGATATGCGATATATATCGATGTGCGATATATATCGGAGCGCAATCTTCGGCTCTTTTCAGTTGAGTGCCGAACTTGGCCGAAGTATCGATGCATTTCAAAGAATATATTTTGTTTACATATTTTATATGAATATTTGTGAACACTAGTTAGTAATAATGTTTTTTAATCTAATCTTCGACGCGAATTGAAGATCCTCTCTCTTCGTAATAAAGAGAGAAATTGACAAATGCACAATATATTCTATTGCAATTTCGAGGTTAGAAATCTAACAAAACTCCGGTTAATTTAAGCGGTGGTTTATTCGATTGAAAATGTGTCGATAAAGTTTTATGTTTTCTAATCTTTCTTTCTATGCATCGAGCAATTAACAGTTGTATTCATTTCAATCAAATACTGCGTAATACTAGGAGTATTACATTGACAAGTTGATCGGAGTTTGATTAAAGCTTTAAAAATGTCAGAAGAGAAAATTGGTTCACTGGAAGAGGAGGCTCTGAAGAGAAAAGAACGGCTTCAGGCTCTCAAAAGGAAGAATGAAGAAAGTAAGGAAAATAAGAACAACGCGGACGAAATATTGCCAAAGTAAATCTCTTGTTTCAATGAATCATTTTAATCCCTCAAGCTTAATGATTGTTAAATTATTATAACATTGTTTCAAATTTCATATTTTCAGGCCGAAATTCCGAAGTTACAAGCCGCAAGATGAAAATTTGAAAAGTAATATGATAGAGGATGCGAAACCTGGAGATGTAGAAGCCGTGGTTCGTGAACAGTTGGATGCTGCGAGCAGCAAAGTGGTCATCGAGGAACTAGTAAGTTATGGTTACGGATCATAAATTTATTTTATATTTATTTCTTCTCATCTCTTATATCTACACAAAACTGATATCAAAGCTTAGTCTCTATTGTTTTTATTATGCAAAAATTGAGTTCAAATTATTTAAAGAATCCATAAAAAGTGATTTGGAACATTCTACATACATATTTTCTAACTCCATCCTTCATAATATTATTAGGGTTGTTTGTGACTTTATGTGTATAAAAACACATTTTTTTATTTACTTAGGACATCAGTAATTTAGCACCAAGAAAACCTGATTGGGATTTAAAGAGAGATATAGCTAAAAAATTAGAAATATTAGAGAGGAGAACACAGAAAGCAATAGCAGAAGAAGTGAGAGCGCGTCTCAAACAAGGCCAACAAAATCTAGCAGTTTATGTAAATGAGACTAACAAAGAATAGAAGTACTGTTTATCGGTAATATATATTTTATAATAAATTATGCATTTTTTTCTATAGCATGTAAGATTTATCAGATAATAACCTCATGATTTCTCATTATTTCTTATAATCACAAATCAGATCAAATTCTCTTTGTGAATTAAATCTTCATAAATTAAATGCTTTGAACTTGCTGGCATGAAACAAGTTCAAATTTTATCAATTTAAATACAATATTTTACTTAACATTTATTGTTATATCGCAAGCCGTGTAAAGAAAAAATTATCTACATAAAATACAGTTATTAATACTATTATCTTAAAGTATACATGCGCATACATACATGTAGTATGTGTGTCAATGTGAAGAGATGATATTCAATTTATTCAAATTAAATATTCAGAGTATTTGTGATAGAAATATGAAAAGATTCTTTTCTGAACATTTGCTCTATTAAATATCTTAACCCTCAAACGATATTGCAAAATTAAATTCATTTCTGATCTTTCTTTTCTTGTGCAATAATAATTGTCAATTTTGCATCATTCTACCAATAAAGGTTAAGATAGCAAGTGAAAGACGTCATTGACTAGAATATTTCACATCGAGGTGTTCATATGGCAAACAAAAGGATCGTAAAAAAGACTCCTAGCGCGATGATGGAAAATGGCACTTTGACATTGCGCTGTCCAGAGTGTTCATCGAAACGATGATAAATGCGAGGAATATACTTCTGTCTTGTTGGAATATTGTGAAGAACTATTCGATCTTCTAAAGGCTGCACCGGTCGGAAATTGTGAGTCATTTTATTGCCTTCTTGAGTCCGTAAATCGCGAAAAGCAGCTAACTGAAATTGAAGGAGTAACATAATTCTTTGAATTAGTAAATTTGTGTGTACAGCTTAAATAAGCCAAAAAATTCTTCTTTATATAAACGTTATATAAATAATTTTATAACGTTCGAAATTATATGCAAAATATGATTGACATACCTGTTCATGCGACAAGCGCTGATGATCCTTAAAGTCAATCCATATAGCTACCTCGAGACAAGGTGGAGTTGTCAATGAGCCGTTATACGTGAAATAGTCTTGTATAGTAGTAATATCCGGTACAAACAATCTTTCCAACAGCAAGGGCTCTCGCAATACTTTCTCATTTCCTACCGTTTCTATATCAGGTAGTACTTCTACGATAGGTTCGTACATTGGGTTTGAATTCGGACTTACCTGGTAATTTTATTGAGATAAAACATTAATTTAAAACATAAAATTGCATATTAAAAAAAGAGTTACAATAATATAAAAGATAAAATTAATTACGCGAAAAATAGGTGAAATAAAATAATATAATTATTTAAATTTTAACACAATTTTTCTTTTTTTTCTCTTACCTCGTATAGATATGCCAGAATACCCAAACCATCGGGATGTTTAAGAGCTTCATTCATCGACTTGTAATCTTCCTTGTAAAAAACGGCATGCATTTCCATCGGGAACGAATGATTGTTGATTAAATCTTCGGATCCCTCGTAATCATTTTCTCCCCAATGGAAGTGCAATTGCTCAAAGACATAGAAATTATTCCCTAAAGGTCCTCCGGTTATCATGGGCGTTTTAGATGCATTGATTTTCAGCATAACTGAAAAAAAAACGAGGAAGAAGAGGCTAAATTATAGTGTACAATGACAATAATTATTGAGATATCAGTTTCTAGATTATATCTTTTTTTTTTATATAACGTGGACTTTAACTGCGTATTAAAATGTCATTCCACGTGTAAAAACCGATTACGTGTTAACTTAATTGGACTCTTTATGGCATATTTAACTATCGGGACTTAACCGTCGGGATTTAACTGTCCGATGTATCACTTGCAAATTTTTTATTCCAGTCTCCTTTATTCAACATTCACGCGATTTATCGCTTTTACGGCAGGCAATAATTATAATTATAGTACAGAGTTGTGCCTTTTCTCGTTTCGGTCCCAATCATACCGCGAAGAAACACGTTTTTCTCTATTCTGATTCTTGTGAACGCGATAGTTTTCCTAGGTAAAAGGAAACCTAGGCTACACACTTAGATAAGGTAAACAAGCGGGAAACGTTTTTAAGTGTGCGGTCAGAAACGAACCGTGAAATTCTTACCTGTGTGACCGTTGTTCGTCACGAATGAAAGGGACGGATTGTCAACGTCATACAATTTCAACGGTGGTAGACTCACGTTCTTCACATTATGCTCCTCTATGTTAATGGGCGATTGATGTTTCCCGATGCATCCGTTATACTCCTCACCCCAATGCTCTGGACCTGTGCGAGAATTAGATTAGTCTCGTTTCGGAATAACGTGTCACAGAGAATTTATAATTAATCTCACCTTGATTTCCGTCGTAACCGAAGTCCTCGCCTAGACACAATCCTGAAAGAAAACATTCTTATAATAGGATAATTGCTCATGTTATAAAAATTTAATGAGGAAACGCGTAGAGTAATAAATAATGATAATGATGAACACGATAAAAATGAGATTTCATTTATAACGCGAGATGATATATGCTGGATAGAAATACAAATTTATATTCCGATATCGAGAATCTATTTTATCTTGTTTTATATATAATAATTATATATAAAATATTTAAAATATATATGCATTATGTATATTTTAATATTTAAATATATATAAATATACATGGTACATCTAAATAAATGCGAAAAATTTTAGGAGATTATTCTTTATCGACAATTAAGATTTCTTATATGCATAAACGTATACTCTTATATCCAGCCCTTACACTTTTTTAAAGAAGGAGCTAAAAATTAAGTTTTTATATTTTTTCTCAAATTTTAAACAAATTAAAAAATTTGGTGGATATTTTTTACTAACAAAATGCAAAAAGGATATTTATTAATATTAAAAAAAATAAAAACCTAATTTTTACCTCCCTTTTTAGAAAAACGTAACTCCTTAGGGAGGGATGATATAAGAGTATATATTTATATAAGAAATCCTCCTTAATTTTCGACAAAGAATCATCTCCTAAAATTTTACGTATTTATTTAGCTACACCCTGTATATTTAATATATATTTAAAATATATATTATCTTGTTTTATATATAATAATTTATATAAATTATATAATAAATTTATATAATAATGAGATACAAATTACTTCGACCAAAAATTGGCTAATGCCTTTATCAAAAGTAAATATTTTTGTATGTTTGCACTTGATGGACCACAATGTTGGTCGAAACGTAGTGTTCATTTACTTTTAATAAAGGAATTAGCCAGTTTTTGGTCGAAGTAATTTGTGTCTCATTATTATTTTTAAAATTGTCACTGGCGATTAACAATTATTTGTGAAATTTATATAATTTTTTTATATAAAACCATACAAATTTATTGAAATTTCGACCTAACTGGCCAGTACAATTTAATTAGAAACACTACGTTTCGACCCTTAGGTATGGGTCCTTTTCAAGTGTAACTTTCAAGATTGCTAAGTAGTAATTTTACTGCTGTCGAATCAACATCTTGAAAGTTACACTTGAAAAGTACCCGTACCTAAGGGTCGAAACGTAGTGTTTCTAATTAAATAGTACTGGTCAGTTACGTCGAAATTTCAATAAATTTGTATGGTTTTACTCATCTCTGGCGACTTCACATTAATTTGATCGTTTTTTATATCACTTTACTTAAAATTGGCGCATTAAAGAAAATAATACAATATAAAAAAATTAAGAACAGATCGATATATATCTTTTGCTGGCATTCTGAAATATAATTAATGTATTGTAATTTTTAATGAACTGGGGTCATCAAATGCGTTGGCAGAAATAAAATTTTCGCGGAAGCTGAAAATGTATTTGGTATTTGCTGATCGCGGAAGACAATTGATCATTTCCGTGCATTTATTATGCGTCGGAATGCATCTTGGTTATCTGTTAACGCGAGATTTTTTCCCATCGGTACATATTTGACGAGCAAGTGGTCTCGCCTTGCAGTGCCTTGTTTAAAGTTCTCCGCATCTGCTCGACATATGCGACAAGTACTGTAACGATTTACTCGAGAATATTACTTTCGTTTTAGTCGAAATGACTGCATGAGGAGACCGCCAACGTGACATCTCGGCTGGAAATCCTTGGCTGATTTAAAGCGATTATCTTGAGGATGACGAGCCATCCTCGGCGTCCTTCCATTATGCAAAATTTTTATTGTTGCATGATTACGTGAGATGCGTGCAAGGAGCATTGAGGGCTCGCGAAATCTAATGATAAAGTAACAATTTTGACTATTTGTTTATTAATATCCTTTAATACCGTTTTAGTATTCGTTATTCGACGCGGACGTCTAACAATTGCTATATATTGTGACAAATTGAAAAATATCAATCTTGAAAATATTATCTGTGTGTTATAATTTTAAAAATTTGATGCAAGAAAAGAAAATATCACATTCATTTAGTCAGTTAGTCCATGTAAAAAAAGGCAAACATACAACTGCTCTAACAATAGACACATTTCTACATATCTAATTTTGAAGATGAATATTCGCGATATATGTGATTCATCAATCTTATAATAAAATGACGTAGATCGATGTTGGATGCCATATAAATTATCAATTACTGATTATGTTTGAAATACTGCGCATTCTGCATCATTTAATAGTAAATAATTTATTCAGAATTTTTTTTTTTAATTAAATGTGGAAATGACTTCATACGTAACGTCAAATAATTAATCGTACTTAATCAAACTTTCGTAACGTGCGAAAGATTCAAATTATTGATAAAACAAATTCTTTCATTAATTCTGTTCCACGTTCCACTTGTCAGTTCATCAAGTTTTATCTCTTAAGAAAACATTCATATATCCTCGGGAATTTACATTTTTACGATTCAAACAGTCTATCACGACAGTCACGTATGATTCCAAGTTTTGTGCTCGCTTTACGACATAAGTCAATAATCGCTAGATGTGTACTCTCAAGTTTTAGATGCCTTTCTTATTTTTACTCTGGATTGATTGTAATTTAACACGATAGAAGATAAAAATAGCAGACACACATACACACATATATCCAGGAATATGACAATATACAAAAAAAAAACCGATGCGATATGAAGCGATAATTTGAACACATCGCGATTTTTATCGGGATATATTATCATTTTTATCAGTCGATTTATTAAAAGAAAATATGAAACGTCAAATTAGTCGAAGAAATCAACCAACATCATCTTTACTATGCACAGGTCACAAAAATCGTTTAAAAATTTTTTTATGTGTGTGCTATCCCGCTTCGAATAATAGCGTTAATATTATTTTCAAGGATATACATAATTATATATTATTATAGTTAGATATAAGATCTTAAAGCTAGATAAAGCATAGTAAAAAAATTACAATTTATTTATTCAATGTGCTTTAATTTAATAATTTGTCCGACATACAAACATGTGAAAAGGATTCAGCATATATCACATTTCATCATACGATTACTTTCACACGATTATCGTTATCACATAATTATCGTTATCATTATATCTATATTATATTCCATTTTTATACTATTTTTGAGATAAGATATATTATTGTTATATTTTTATTTTATTATTTAAGATAAGGTTTTAAAGTAAAGTTATAATATTATTACAGAAAAATGTCTTAAATCAAAGGGCTTTGCTATTGAATCGTCGTAAAATTTAGGGGTCCGAGGATTGACAAGTCGAGAATCATCACTAGCATCTCAATCGCGACTTTCGTAGAGTATTCTGTGGTCATCCGCAACGATTTTGATGCATATCAATGCGGTTGAATGCAACATCAATGCAACGGTTACGGAAGATACTTATTGTTAACGCATACCTGGTAATACATACACGAGTAGTTGCAATTTTGATTTAATCATCTAGTATTAGTACATCGATTTTATTGAACACAGTGAATACTTTATTTAATCAATGTTGTGTTGTTTATATGTAAATTAATTACTGCCCTATCGCTCTCGAAATCGCTAATTAAAATTCATTCACAACATAATGGCGATGATAATTTGTACGTTACGGTATAATTGAAATACTTTTTTGATCACGAAATTTATATGAAAAATCTCGCAGAATCATGTATCATCATCATTATTGTGCGCGTTGAATAATTTCCTTATTTTCTTCATCATCGTAATTATTGCATATTTTTGTCTTGCTACAACTGCGCACAAATTCATAATTTATTTATCTCTAATAACAAATTAATAAAGTGCATTAAAATATATCCTTCTATAATATTTAAAAAATTGTACTCGATATTATCTAAATTAATAGTTCCTATATAGGTCGATTTTGAGATACTGATTATTCTATACAATCATTTTAAAAAATTCTAATATTGTCATAATTATTTCTAAAATAAAAAGAATCTTTTTTTTTTATTTAAAAGGAATAATACGATTAAGAATGACAGAGTTTCAAAATAGCATGATTCAAATAATTTAGTTATTTTTTTCATTGCCATTGTCGAAATTAATGTGCGGATACTTCAATACTTTGTCCTTGTTGCACAGCTGTATACAAATTCATCCTTACATCATAATATTTATTCGAATGCAAGTGCATAAATATAATTCTACAATAATAGAAAAATATTTGTTTACTATAGGCCGTATTCCAAAATTCACTGTCCACACTAAATATCTATAATATATACGTAACATGAACTTTAGATTTTCAGCGCTGGCAATGAATTTTGGAATACGGCCATTATACATAAATTAACAGCTCTGCTTAGAGCGACAATTTTGAGATACTGATTATTCGGTGAGATCATTAAAAAAAAAAAAAAAAAAAATGTATATGTCATAATTTATTTTTAAAGTCAAAACTCTCGACACCAAATAACTATATAAATATCCTTCTTACAGGATTTATATAATAAATATTTATACGATATTAACAACAGAGTTTGAAGAAGCAACCTCGAGGGGGTGTTAAATTTGTTTAATGTAAAAAAGCTATTATTCTATATGAAACCGGCTGTTAAATATTCAAGCGGAGAGACGTACCTGGAAGGAGAAGAAGGCCGAGAGTAGCGACCGAAAACACCATGATCGTTCACCCTGTCGGCGTCTAACACCGTGAAATCCTGCGGCGGACTCGCCGATTCGTCGAGGAATCAGCGAAGGAAAATGCGAATGCTTTGTTACGGTCGGTGGAGGACTGAGGTGCCGCCGGCTCGGTCGACCATGTTAAATAAGAGTCGGCCGCTTCTATTTTGCGGCGTGCGTGCGATTGACTCTCCGCACTGTCGCGTCGACAGCCGGGGTGGGAAGGACAATTTGTTGATTTCGTGACAATGTCGTGGAATCAGCATGTCGACTAATGATTTCAAGATACGATCCGGAGTCGACGGAAAATAGGCGAATTAAAACTCGCTCTTTTTGAATCGGCATATATTATAGAGATCGATTGTTCGAAAATACAATCTGGATTTATCTCACATATCTTTTGTATTTTGTGTGTGTATACATACGTAAAATCACGGATATGAATTTTTTCCAAGAATGTGTGAGACGAATAATTATTTTAATTTTATATATGAAATCTATTTTTATATACGATATCCACACATGATTTTAAAACACATATAATTGATGTTTTATATATAATGTATGTATAGTTTACACAATATATTATAATAATTTATATTATACGTTCTCGAAAATTTTTCAATATTCGGATTTTTCTGTTTTTAATTAGATTATTAGATAAGATTGACAGGTGCTAGAGTTTCAAAATTTAGCAATCGATTATACAAGCTCTTCGGGCTCATTTTAGGATGTGACGTTTTGTAGACTTAAGTTTCGCAGGTGCACACTTTTATCCTGTATGTATATGTTACTTGACAGTTTGTTTGATCGGTACAGGCGGAAGTTTCTTGAATATATCCGGCGATATGTGGTGAATAATTTACGGTACTCTCTTGTCTCTATCGCCACCGCTTTTCGGTATTCCCAACATCCGTCTCTCGCGAAATTGTTCTCTGCGGTTCTCTCCAATGACTGTAATCCGCGGCAGATTTGTTACACAATTCGTGATCTCATTTTGCAAATTGGCTATTAAGAGATTAATAACATCCTGTTTGTATCATCTATATAAAAGAGATATTTTTATCAAATGTGCAACTAATGATAGACTGATTAGATCCATTCCACGATTTGTATGTGTATACAATATATATATCTCTAATTTTTAATCTTTTAATCTCTGAATATTTTTTCTCGTTCTAAGAAAAATCTCGTAGTAAATATAACGAGATATAAATAACAAAAAAAATACAATTAAAGAAAAAAATTCATAAAAATAAATTAAACATTTGAAATATGTAACATAATTATATCTTATAGTTCTTTCTATTCATTATAAAATGTTATATCTACTAAATTTTATATTTTATACTTAAAAAAAGATTGTTTAAATAAAATTTGCACAATTAATAATATTTCACTTTTGTAATCAAATTTTCTTTTTTTCTGAGAAAAAGTATTGGAATATCAGATAAAGGTCAATTTGCTTAATAGCATTAAAGATGAGAACTTCGTCGAAATATCCATATTAATTTCCTAAAGTGTTCCTTGTAATGGGAATATAACTATACTAATACAAATCTCTAAGGTAACATATGTGAAAAACAAAGACAAAGACAGATTATTTTTATTATTCAGTGAAGTCGATGTTTTAGCAAAATGACAGAATAAGTGATTGCTGGTTTTCTATCGGAATATTTATAACAGGATAAATTACACACATTTTTGCATTCTTAGCTAATAGTACATAATGCGAGAATAATCGGTCATTAAGGCAAAAATCAAGATTTAAATTGAATTTCCTTTTGCTTAGTTTAGCATCTCCACAGCACTGTATGAGTAATAAAAAATTAAAACAGGTGCACGTGCGATATAAAGTATTACGCTTATTTGGAAACTTCAATGCGCTAACGTCGGAACGAAATATTGTTGCACTTGTAGAATTCTGGAAAATTAACGTAATTGGTTACGCTTAACAATGCAACATTAGCGAATGATGAAGGCGTAATGTTACTGCTTGACTATTGTACGTCGATTGCACAACGGCAGAAATTGAGATAACAATCGGGCAGTTAATGTGTGCGATATACAGCTTACAATTTGTGACCATCTGATTGTCGATGTATCGTTGGCCATGATACATTTATATACAATATGTAATCTATTATTAGTTATACAAACACAGAAATGCGATAAAGGCAATAATTATAGCATTTATTATGTTATATAGAATATAAATCATGCATATGAGATTATGATTATTAAATAAATTAAATGCCCTTTGCACAGCTTATATTTCGTTATATTAATTTACATAATAAATGCTGATTACAATTTGTTAACATCATATGTAATAAGATAATATTTATAACATTAATGCAATCCAGATGGAAGTCTCATCTCATAAATAGCAAATGCAAATAATTTCTGTTTTTATCATTTGGCTTCTCTCTATTCGGTGTGGTACACTGAAAAAAATTTGTTAACTTGACTAAACCTTTCAATTAAATATTATTTTGTTAATTACACATATAAAAATATTTAAAGTAAATATATCATATTAAAGCTAACAAAATGTATATTTGACTTAAATACTAATATATGTTCAATTAACAAAATAGTAATTTAGTTGAAAGTTTAATCAAGTTAACAAATTTTTTTCAGTGCACTAATACAACAAATACTACAGGGGATAAAAAAAAAAAAAAAAAAAAAAAAAAAAATTGATAGAAAATATTACAGAAAGAGAATAAACAAGTGAGTTTAGACCACCATCGGGATTGCATATATATGTGTATATATATATATATATATATATATATATATATATATATGTTATCCAGATGGAAATCCAAACTCACAACTAGCAGGAGCAAATAATTTCTTTTTTAACAGACGTAGGCTTCTTGATATTCATAGGATGTTTTGTTGAAGTTAAAATGGAGGAAAAACGCAACAAGAGGAAGAAATTGGAAAATGCTATAAAAAAATTGTATTTAAAGTTGGTATTATTTGTCTCTCTCTCTCTCTGTGTTTTCCTGTGCTTCAGAGCAATGAATCAGTTGAAAAATATCTAAGCAAGCAACACAGTCAAGTGATGTACAAAAACGGATTGTAAAAGCTACAGAAAATCCATTATTAGCTAAAGCAACAGCTATACATCCAGCTAAACACTCAACAATTGCTGTACATAACTTTAAATACAAGTTTCTTTGTAGCATTTTCCAATTTCTTCTTCTTATTGCGTTTTTCCTCCATTTTATTAATTGTTTGTATATATCCATATCTTCAGCTAAAAACAATAGAATATAAAACTTAGCTAATAATAGATAGATTTTTGCTCTTGTTTGATCAATTTAATATTGTATAAATTAATATGAATATAGATAAGAAAAAAAATCACTTTTTCACATATACAGGATGTCTGCAATTGATCAATATTTATTTATCAGTATATTTTATAAATATAAACAAGAACAATATTATATTGATCCAAAAATTTCATTAAAAAATTGTAATAAAAATATTAAATATAAAAACAACAGCACAATAATGCATTGATATACAAAATAAATATAAAATAATAAATTGGCAGTGTTTATCCAATCTGTTTATTCTAGCAATTTTTTTTATTTCAGCATATCAAATTTATTATTTACACGAGAAGATTAAATTATTTACAGAGAAAGCATATTACACAAAGTAAAAGTGAAAGTGTATTATACAAAGTTAATTTATAAAAAGGATGCATCATGAAAATTATTAGTTTGGCATTAAACTAAAACAAGATATGAATGACATTTATAAATGTTAAATTCTCTCTTAATCATATTAAGCTTATATTAGAAATGAAGAATAGCTTTTACAAATAGAAAATTAAATATATTTTCTTCTTTTTAATTTTTTAATGTGATGATAAAATGTTTTTTGAAATAATTATATTTTTCATTTTTATATTTTTTTCTTGTTTCTATTTCTAGGGAATTTTATTGCATATACACATAAACATACATAATATTTAATCATTTATATATTTATATATAATTAACATTATATATTGTTATTCGCTATTAATTATTAAATCGAATTCTATTAGCAAATTTAAACTTTAATAAATAAAAGCTCAAATATCAAAATTTAATATTAAATGTATATCATATGTTGTATATAATGTTGATTTTATTTAATATTTAAACTTGACCATCAATTGTCAATGATATAAAATTATAAATAAAATATGAATAATATCCACAGATTGTCTCTTAAAAAGAATAATATGTTTTAAACAATTAAAAGTTTTTCGTTAACTTACTGAATTGCGGACTGGTACCGAGATATCTTGCAATGTACGATTATTATGGAAGGACCGCATTCTAATTTCCTTTTGCGAGATTCCTTATGTTTATATAAGTTCGTATAATATTCTAACATATTATATACGATTCCCATGTCTGAAACGTGCGGATTTTTATCTCTTCTTAAAATCCGACATTCCGTAACGATTCAACGTATCTTCACAAATGTGTGCTGAAACAATGACACACAGTTACCTTGTTCTTTATTATTATTTTCTGACTCTTGTGACCCTGTGTCGCATATACAACTATCAAAATCAAACGAAAGTCAAGTCAAACTGACAGTTGTGGCATTGAACGTCGAGATAGGAGATAGCGACATCTCCGTACACTTAGCAGACGAATTAACTAGAGTCCCTAGGTACTTGAAAATTAACAAGCCCCAGCCAGTGACGTACACAGTAATTAAACTTCCGAGACATGAAAAAATTCCGCCTAATTTCTTACAATTTTTCCCATTTTCCTTTCCTTTATAAACAAAAATATATTTAAAAAATTAAGCAAGAATTGAATTGTGTTCAGTGTAAATTTACATGTCAGAGTGAACTTTAGGTTCTCCTTTTTTACTTTTAAGACTGTCATTTCTGCTGTGTCACAACTAACAGTTACCTGATTAATCGGAGATTTGAATATGTATTTTAATTCAACAGCCTGAAGAGGACCTAATTGACAATCGAAACGTCGTTTCTTCTCTAATAAAAGGAATTTTAACTTTGCCGATGTTGGTCCATCAATTCTTGCCTAATTTTTTAAAAATTTAACTGACGATCATATCACGTTTTTCTGTAAAAATATATTTATCAATTTCTTTTTCAAAATTTAATATGTATTCAATAAATTCTAAAATAAATAATAACGTAATCAATGAAAACACGCCTCGCGGGATCTCCCGCGCACGTCCCTGGGCGGCAGAGCGACGACTGACAGCGCGATTGGTAGGAGTCGAATCACCAATCAGAGCGCGCGCGCGCGGTCGGTGGCGCCGCGCATGCGCCCTAGCGGCTGAAGCACGCATCGCGTATCGCATCGAGCGAACGCTCGGCCCTCGCGTGTGTCGTGTCGTGTCGCGAGGCGCATTCTCCGCGCTGCGGGTAACACATATGTACGCATTCCCATCGCTCGCTGTCGTCAGCGTCGGCGTTGGCTCCTCGGTGCGCCGCTTCGGAGCGTAGCAACGGCCCGGTCGCGCGGGAGCTGTCACCGCTGTTTCTGCGAGAATTCTGGCGTGCGCGCGAACGAAGGCAGCAACAGCTCGCCGCCGCGCCGCGGCCAGTGACAACGTTTATTTTCGATAGTCGGGAAGGAGAGAGAGAGAGAGTCGGTCGCAGCGGATATACTCTGAACGATCGCTACGAGGACGGTCACAGGCAGCAAACAGGTAAAAGAGCGAGTGAAATCAACCCTTTTTCCTCGATTATGTATCCGACCGCGCCATAATTGCACGGCCGTTTTAACGGAGAAGAGAGAGAGAAAGAATGCGTGCGATGGAAAAGGAGGGAGCTATAGCGAGTATCGTGGAAGAGAAAGAGAGAAGGAGGGGGTCGATAGTGAAACGAAGCGAGAACGAACGCGGTAGCGTGGAGAGGCAGAGAAGTCTCTCTCTCTCTCTCTCTCTCCGTCAAAATGTCGTTGAAAACGCCAACGCGGATACAGTGATCGTCGACGCTCGCCTAACTCGGGGCACGTCGTCTCCCTTCGAGCCCTCGCTCTCTCCTCTCTTCGCCCTTTCCCTCCCTCCGACCTCGCTCTCGACGACCAGATTATACCAGTTGTAGCGGGGAAAGAGAGAAGATCGCGGGTGCATCGATTTCCTCGCGCGCATATCGGGTTTGTTTCCCCGACGTTTCTCGCCTTCCTCGAGGAAGAAGGAGGCGATCGCCTTTAATTTTTTTTTTTTTATATCGCGGGAAGGATCGAGAGAGGAGGCGGATCTGCTCCAGGTATCTGGCCAAGTGAAGATTTATTACGACTCGTTGTTCGCCGTGATTTCCCACTCGCAGGGAAATCGATTTCCTCGAGCTCGATTCCTTCCTTATTCTCTTGGGCCGCAACCTTTTGTTCGTCGTCATTTTATGCCGCGATTCTCGGTTCCTCTATCTCTCTCTCGCTCTCTTTATGCTACATCACTCCCCTCTTCCGACTCTTTGCGACGCCGCGCAAACCTCTTTTCGTGACCGTTAATGTCGCCTCGCATCGATATATACGTGCATACATATATGCACGCGATATCAAATAATTGTCCGAATTAATAACCAGGATCGAGCAGGATATTAACCAGAAATTAGCGATTCGTTCATCCTCATCGCGGATGAATCGTGTAGCTAACAGACATCATTATCATCATCATCATCATCATCATCATCAGCACCCTTGTGGGGTGAACTAATTTCTTTTAGCCAACAATATCCGTCATCCTGATCTCTCGTCGATAAAAAAATTGACAGTTTGCCGGAGCAACGCTGATGCCTAGGTGATCCAAAACTCGAGGAACGATTCGAGCTGCCTAGTGTTAGCGAACGTCGAGTGAATCAGTCCGGAGCATTCTTTGTAAAGTGCCGGGTTTTTTTAAATTTTTTTTTTGAATTTTCAGAGGAAGAGAGCGAATTTTTCCGCTCGCGAAATTTCTAGGCGTCAGAATTCGAAGTCGGTTTTTTTCCCCATCCTGCTTTCGTCTCTTCGCGAATGACTCGATAAAAAAGGTTTCGAGACGAGATCGAAAATATATAGCGGGTTTGCCTCCAGGTACAGCGATAGCTTCTCGTCGAATGCGATCGTTGTGAATAATTCGCAGCGCGAACGAAAATGGTCGCGAGGAATTATTGAAACGAAGTCTCGTAACAAAGGATGAGAATCGTCGCCTTCTCGGCAACAATCTGTAATTTTCGGATATCAGTTTTTTTTTTTTTTTTTTTTTTTTTCCGCGCGATCTGTCTATTGTTGTCTCGTCTCGGACGAAGGGGTCTCTGAGGTTCCCGATTCTTTTTTTTCCAACTTGTGTTCGCACATTCGTGTCTTCGGGTTCTCGTTCTGAGGCGAGTTTAGTGACTTGGCCAGATCTTGGTTAATTGCTATTTAAACTGGTTTCTCTGCAGGAAGGAAGCGGCTCACGAAATTTTTTTACTCATCGCGAGCGCGGGGAGAATAAAATAATTTAGAAAGATTGCATTTAAAATGAAGATCTTTTTCGATATAATTTTACTTTTGGTAAATTATAGCCAGGAATTGCAAGTTTTTTCAAGTTTTTTCATCAAATGGTGGAACTATATTTTATGTTTTTATGCTTTGTTATAATGTACTTTTTATAAAAAATTTAGCTTGTGTTTTAATGAAAGAGAGATAAAATTTGTATAATTGTAAATATTTAACTTTCCAAGAGAACAATCATATAATTTATTGTATTAATATTAATCTTGTTTATTATGATATATATTTATACCACATCTTGCTTTCTATATTTATCAAAAATTTGTCTCTAAAATATATTTTTAAAAATACATGAAAATTTGATTACATTTAATATGAATGTATAAGAATCAAGTATTTATTACATTATGCAACTTGAAAAGAGAAAAATGGGTTGTACTTAATTATGTGCAATTTAAATATTTATCTGATACAATTGTTTTAGTCAGATTATTTATTTCAGATTTTTGTGATTAGAACTGTACATTGAAAAACAAGAAAATGGTGTCGACTCGTCAATCAAGCAACATGGGAAACAGCAGTAGCAGTGCATCAGTTAGTGAGGTCGGAGAAGTGAATTCATTGAAAAAGCACCATTCAGTAACAACTGCTCCGTCTAACAGTGGATCCACTGCTCTAACAGTGGTATCATGCAATTTGAATCTTTTGGATTTACCTGTTGAAGTTCTTGAAAAGATTTTCAGCTACTTGGGGTTCAATATGGTAGCTCATATGCGTCTAGTAAGTATTAGAAGTACAAATATAAAGATGTAACTTTATTTCCCATAATCAGTTTTGCTATAACACACATTTTTTGTTTGCATCAGGTTTGCCATCAATTGGACCGTATTTGTGGATCAATCCTCAACTCTACATTTCAAAAGCTGCAAGCTCAGATGTTGAGCCGTTTTCAGGCTATCAAGGCGCAAATGCCCAGACGCGAATCCGCACGTCGAAATCATCCTTTAGCTTGCGAGTCTGATATCATAGAAACTCTGCATATGCGGCTTACCTTACTGCAAATGAGTTTTGGCAAACACATTGAACGGAAGCATTGTTGCTTTTTTCCTGGTGAAGTAAGTACGAGGGTCGTTCGGAAAGTAAAGATTATTCGTATCGTTAGATTTGAATACAGCAAGATCGAGTCTACATATCCTTTTTTTTTTTGTGTATCTTCCTTTATATATTTCCTTATATTTTCCCATTTTATTTTTTTCTTGTAGTATATGTATAATCAATTTAAAGTGAAAAAGTAAGTAAAATCATTGTGTGCCTGTCTTCATAATTTTACTAAATTATTTTAGATTCTATTAATCTATATAGCATTTAGATTGATTCAGTATCTGATCAATTACTATAACAGTTTAATGATGCAAAGAAATTAATTTTATATATTTATTCAATATGATCAAAGTTATGAATATGCATATCTTCTATCTTTCAGTCAGTTTTCTATTTTAAAATTTTCTAAGTGTTTCACAAAAATGATGGGAATTGAAAACTTTGGAAAAAACTAAATAAATATACTGCTAATAATGTTTTTAAACAAAAAGCTATAAAAGTTGGTATCATGATATAATAAATCAAATAATTACTAATGTGTCAGAACATAATATAAAGTAAAATATACTTGGGAGCAATAACTTTGGAATAACTTAAAAATTTGTTAATTTGAACTGTCAAAAGAAACCAGAATACAAATTCTCTTGACTGTTTTGCAGATTCTGGACGAGGTTTATCGTATTCTTTATTACATAAAAGTTACTCCGAAATTGCAAAGACCTTATAAGGTTACAGATGAATTGTTTGATTTGAGCACCATGGCTATGGAATATTTCAAGGAACACATTGAACCAACATTACCGGAAATACCTTATTTCGGTGCTGACTTCCTGGATCTTGCAGGGACGTTCTCTTGTAAGTAAAATTAAAAATTTAATACTTTTGGTTGTATAGTGTAAACAATGGAGAACAATGTTGTTGCAGCTACTAGTAATGTGAGTAAACCATTTATGTGCCTGGATTCCACACCTTTAACCGTTGGAAACGGAAAAACGGGCAGTACCGGCGAAGAAGAAGGTTCTTCGTCGCATTGCTCGGACGATGCTGCTCTTTTGGAATCCAGTGTGTCGCCACCACAATCGAATATGGTTCTGCGGAAACGAATTCGCAAGATTAAACAAGGCATGAGAAGATACAATAGCCAGCTGACACTGATGCGCAGGGATTTAAAGAGTTGCAAAGCGAAAATTGCAGAACAACAAAAACAGATTGTGGAATATGCTACTCGTCTGGACGATAATGACAAGAAGAATGAGGAGACGTCGCGAAAATTCAGCACGCTCCTACAGGTATTTACCCAGGTACATTCGAGGAGTTCGGGACAAATATCTGTCATTATTTATAAAAATTCATTTTACAACTTGATATTTAAAATGAATCATATATTATTTGTGAAAACATGTTACTAATCTCATGTTTTGGTCCATTTTCTCTGAACTTCTCATTTGGTGCAAAATATGAAAAATAAATAAATAAAATATATCTGTGTATTTGTAACTTATGAGTATAGCTGAATTTTTTTTATCTAGGAATTGAACAAATGCAAAACCGAGCTGCAGTATTGGCGATCCAAGTCTCCAGCAATACCAGTGTGTGTAGGTTGCGGCCAGTCAATGCCAGTTCCTACGGAGGATTTACAAGCTTTAGCCAATCAGGGAGTGCTGCCAGATGCATTTGGTGAAGGGCATGATTTCATTCCCATCGCGGATGCCCACAGTCCCACCGAAGTGGTACAGCAATCCGTAGTTACGCAATCTCCTCCGTTGACGCTGACGGAGGAGATGGCACCCCCAAAGGCTCCCGTGCCTTCGATATCCTTCAAACGGAGATCCACCACAGAGGAAACATTGAGCGATCCCACGAAAAAATCACGTCGCACTGCCAAGTCTCGTCAGGCTAAGCGCTCAAAGATATAAAATCGATAACACTGATCATGGTACAAATATCTGTTCAACTAATCTCTAATGGATTTCCGGAGAGATGGGGAACTTTCTATGATAGTTTACGCGCGTTTCTTTATGCCAGCAAGCCGATGATCTTAGAAGAGTACAAAATTTCCTCACCGAACGTCCTGCATATTGCGCAACGAACCTCGTTTAAAAAAAAAGAAAGAAAATCGCATTAATAATGATTATCAGATTTTTTCTCATGGACAGAGATGTTGCCGCCGATGCATGGCGTGCATTTTATAAATATTCTAAAGAAGCCTAGCCGATCATTTGCTTTGCTCATAAAGCAACGTCTTAACTATACTTTTCCGAATTTCTGTTAAAATTCTTTGTAATTATTTTGCAATTATTACCGTTATTGCTACGGTACACTCAAGGATAATAGAAAGTTAAAATCGCGTTTTATCTTTGCCATGCATTTAACAGCGGTATCACGTGATAGAATACAATAACTATTATCGTCGCGACGAAAAGACTCGCCTTCCATTTTGCTCTTCGATCAAAAATGCGCAGTGACTTTCATGTTTTTTGGTACACCTTTGATAAAACTATGAACATTAAGGACAGGAGCATAGTTCAACTCGTAAGAAAAGAGTTTATTTCGTTGTTCGATAAATGTCACTGTTTGGTATCGCAGATCCGAGTAATATCGCCTCATAATTTGATGATTAATTCATATGATATGATTATAGATTGTTGTTTGTGTTGAGAATATAAATTATGAAGTTTGTGATTGCAGTATTTCATAGAAAATTATATAACTTTGCAATTGTATAATATAATGCAGATGCATTTGTGAATAATAGATAGCAACTAGTAACAATATTCTTTGACTTATTTTTTTATCGTGTGAATTAATGTTCTTGTCTCTAATTTTCATGGCTAGAATGTAAATTGAATATCGCGTCTTCATCTTTTGATCAAATTAGGACAATATAAGAACAAAAAAGTTTATATATATAAACTTTTATGTATATATAAATTTTATGAAAGTTCGCTTTTACATAAAATGAATTGATACAAAGTACATAACTTGTTTAGAAAGTGGAAAATTTCGTTTCAGCATTTGAATTATTCTTTACAATATATATTTAATGATAACTTATATGTAAAAATTAAAATTAAATGTTTAGCTAATTAAATTTTATTTCATGATATTGATTAAAAATCATTTAAAAAAAACTGATTATTTTCAAGATTAATTCGTATAAACATTGCATATAATGCATGAATAATCATATCAATTTATTTTTTTCAATTGAGCGTGCTCAATTTAGAAAATTTTGTTTACAATTGCAGGATTAGATATCATTAAATGTTTTATTGTCCACGTTTATAATTTGTGTTCACTTAGGTTTTGAATTAATTCAAAGCTGGATAAAATCAAAATGTTTTATGATGAAAGTTTTGTCCTAGCCTTATGGCGCGAGATAACCAGAGAAAATATCTGGCACAAATTCAAATCGTAACAAAAGAGCAAAATGTTGATGAATACCTGGAAAGGTGTTAGTTTATTTTTACGAATTACACCGTCTTATTAAGAGAATTATGCGAGAGATGGTGTACGCGCGCATTGCAATATTAATAGAACTAGATAATAATTTATAGAAATGATTCTATTTAGATAAAAAAAATTGGGTAACATGCCATTTTTGTATATTAAATGAAAAAGAATGTAGTTTTGTTATTAACAAATTCGACGCAGATTTCTCTTTATAAATGTATATTTTGATTTTAAGGTAACAGGCATTCAAATTTGTAAATTATAAGAATCGAGGATATTTGCAATTAGATTTTTCAGTAGTCTGATGGTTTACTTTGCGCGATTATTGGTACAATAGAAGCAATTAATGTCTTATTTGCACTGATTACCCAATTAATCTCAAAGCAGCGTAGTTAGATATTGTGAGTTATTCATGATTCTACTTATTAAAAGAAAAAAAAATTGAAAATGCGGATAAATAAGTGAATGATACTTTATTATAAATATATATATATACATTTATATGTATATGTGAACGTATGTATATATATATGTATATATATTGAGTGGTACTTGTGTGCCGAATAGAGCGAGAGAGAGAGAGAGAGAGAGAGAGAGAGAGAGAGAGAGAGAGAGAGAGAGAGAGAGAGAGAGAGAGAGAGAGAGAGAGAGAGAGAGAGAGAGTGAGGGAGGTGTGCATATGGAACACACTTTAGTTTAATGGAACAATAAGATATAATGATTAATTAATTAATTGAAAAATTAATTAATTAACGATAAAATAATTATTAAAATATATATGAAAAAATATATAAATATATATATATAATTTTTTATTGATGTCAAAAGAAATTAGAAAAAAAAAACAGAGATAAAACTTAGGGTGCGAGTATAACAGGAGAGTACACGCACATATGTGTGAGATGAATGTGTGATATATATATACATATATGTATATATATGTGTATATATATAATAACTAAATTCAAATTACGAGAATTTACGATGTGATGCTTTATCGATTTATAACCGCGGGAAAGTGACCTTGATCTGAAAAAAAGAAAACACGTGAGGCGTTTCTGGCTGCGAACGAGCATGTAAACTTCACTTATTAATGTTACGTTGAATAGCGCATTACGGGGGCGGGCATAGCCAAATCACACGTGTCGGAAATTTCGAAATGCTTGTATGTTCACTCTGTAAAATGTCGCGCGAAATATTTCTCGGATATCCTGAGAGGATGAAAGTCTTGAGAAAAAGAAACGAAGCATCTCAACTGTTACATTATTCGGGCCCCTAAAAACAAGCACATATATAAATTCAGAATCAATATCATCGGCTGAATTGCATCAAGTCAGCGTTAACTCTGGTCAATTGGTATCAAAGATTTTGTATTCTTTAGTAATTGATCAACGGATTTTTCTTTTATTAGAAATAATATTCTTATTAAGCTATATGGGATATTCTATCTAAAAAAGAAGAGCCCAGGGATGAAAAGTTCATATATCATCCAAAATATAAATATATGCAATTATTATATATAAAATATATTAACTATTTCTTATATAATTTTTCTTCGTATATACTAGAAAAATAAGAATAATTAAAAAATAATTAGAATAATTTTCACATTGTTTTCATTATAATATTCATTATGTTCGAATCGAAATTTAATGAAGTTAGAAAAATTGCTTACATATAATCATAATTATATATTTATATTTATATATAAATTTATATATGATATGTGTATAGGCAATTTTCTTATTTTTTGAAAACAATAATGTAAAAAATTATTGTATAATATAGATAGGAAGGAAAAATCGCACACAGAGTTAGTCGATTGTTGATGCATCTCAGCCAATAATACATATATATATAAACATACCTCACGTATACACTCGCTACACATCACATCTGCAACGATGTTGTCTCGTTGCAACAACGTCGTCTTAAATAGTTTACGCTCTTCTCGGCTTTCCGACATAATCCGTCCCCGAACGATACAAATGTAGAACTGTGTACTACGCATATATGGATCTAAGTTAGACTTACGATCGAGTATAACAGTGAATATGTGCGATTAGGAGTAGAATAATTTCTTAGACGGTAGAGTGCTGTCCGCGCGCGGTGGAGGAGAGAGAAAGGGAGAGAAGCTCTTTTCTTTTTATATAAGGTGAGAGGAGGATATACATGTGTTTTTTTCCTCCCAAAAATATAACTATTCCACCCCGAAAGCCTGCTATCTGCAAGCGTAATAATGCAAGCAACGGTCCTTGCCTCAGGTACACAATAGACAAATACCCAGAAATACCAGAGAGGAAAATCGTGTACACTTCACGGAGACAAAACGAAAGGAATTAGACAAAGGAAGATAGGAACACAATTTGCCAGCGTTACGGCAGGAGTAAGCGCTGTAACGCCGAAGAATTACGGATATATTATCTTAAATGGTTTTACGTGTATTAAAGCGATTGTAAATATATATATTAGATACACCTTATAATAAACATAATTTAAAAACAAAACAGTTTTCCAATATCTCTTTAGTCTTTTATGTAAGATATTATAAATTATAGAAATTTTAATTGTCATCTGTCATTGTCAAAAAATGTGTTTCTTGCGATTAATTTATATAATTTATATAGCAAACGTTTTCTTACATTTTTTTTATATCTTTAATTTGTATTGATACATATTGTACATTTGTGTGTTTACGAAATGAGAGAATTTTTCTGTGTTTAACTTTCTTTTAAATAAGATAAGCTATGTAATATTTTTTATTTTTTGTTATATATTTTATTGCTCTCACATTTGAGCCTATTTAACTATATTTATGTAATAATAATACTATAATAATATTAATTATCAAATAAAATCAATATGTAATATTAATTATGTCTTCAACGTCTCTCTAATGTTTTATCTTCTTTTTTTTAAGTTTAAATTAGAAAAATTAAGTGATTGAAAAATAACTTCTTTGAACATTCAATTTTAAGAGAAAAGAAATACCACATAATGGAAATAAGAAATAAAACTAATAGTAATCAAGCTACTTTTCCTCTTTCTCTGTTGCCAAACATATTTCAGATTTGCTTATAATATTTTTAGTTTATAACATTTTTTAAATCGCGTGTATAAAATCATACAAGTATATCTATTTATCGTAAAAAATTGTAAGCTAAATTACGCGGCAAAACGTCATTCGTGACGTAACATGAATGCGTTCGAAAATTCTATTCACCAAAGTTTCGAATTCGACCGACCAATCAGAGATCGAGGATCTCTGTCCTGATTGGTCAATCAAACGCTTGACTCTAGGGTAAATCTATTTCCGAACACAATCTAGAATGCTGCTGCTGCTCTCTACACTTTCGAGTCATTCGCGGTCAAATTCACGTTGTCGCCGGTCGGGTTCGCGAGAGCACGCGAGTGTGAGTATTAATAATAAATTGTATTATATTACTATTATTAATTTTATTGTACTATCATTTTGTAATAATTTTTTATCAATTACTTCATTATATATAATTTCCATTTATTTATATTTTACAGGATTACAACTTATAGTTGCTGTGCATCGTGTCGGTGAGTCTCTCTTAATTGACTTTTGGGTAGTAATTTTTGCAAATTTTCTCCGATTTTGTCGAAGCTGTATAATATGTTGTATATTTTTCTGCGTGAAATACGGAATTTTTTAATTAACATCCTTCCCTCCCCTACGAAGCTCTCTTAAAAGAATACAAAAAGATATTTATTCTATTTAGAAGTTTAGAGAGAGGAGATATTTTATGCAAAATATTATTTTAATATTTATTCATAATATATAGGATATGACGTAAACGCATTAACATATTATGCACAATTAATAATAAACACACAAAAATTTGTTGGTATTGTTTTTGTGTATTTTATAGATTTTATGCCGTCAAAAATATTTCCGTTTAATATTTTATTTGAATATTCTGAATATTTCTTTCTTTAAGATATAAAACAAGTCTAGTCACTGGTATTTTTTCAATCGAATTTCTCTATTCTGGAATCATATTAATTGACTTGCAATGTTAATGGTCTCTCGATTAGATTGAATGGGTTCTCATTCTGTTTTAAAGACGCATGCGCGAGACGGAAATAATCGCGTTCTTTCACTCATTTTCTGTCACATGTTCAGCGTACGAAGCTGCACAGCTGATTCAGAATAGCGGGGAGTCAAGAATAACGAGAGAGACAAAATAGAGGGTATTGGTGTTCTATTATACATAATACATACTCTGTTAGAAAAGATGGCGAAGACGAAGCAAAGGTATATAATTACGTGACAAATACGTCCGAATTGTTTACGGTGTTGTGTTTGGCCGGAAAATTCGGCGTGATTCGACATTTGCCTCGGCATTTTTTCCTAATATATACACGATCTGATCCGATGTTCGAATATTTCGACCTGAGATTGCTTTATCATAGCCGCAATCGTTTCTTAAACTTAAACTGTGCGCGATTTGATTTCTCGTCTTTTTGGTGTAAAATAATCTACTGGCAGATGCACAATGGCGGATTCATTGCATAAAGATGGATACGAAAATTGTAAGTATATGAAACAAAGTGATCATAATAGATATATGCTATTTTTTATGTCATATTTTTCAAGAGTCTGTTTTAACCAAACTTTGTACATTTTTTTTACACTTGGAAATAATGACTGCGAAAAATTAGAAAGAACGATCGTTGAATGTGTCCAGATATATTCTTATTGATCGTATTGTTCATATTCGAGGAATGTTCGCTTCTCGCAAAGTGTTGTGTTTGCGAATGCAATTATTATTTCCTTGTGGAGGGGATGCCAGCAAGGTCTGTTGTGCGCGTCTGAAAATCTGCGCAGATGACCATGTGATTGTTTTGAATGTCGATTGTAATTGTAATATATAAGATTTATCCCTTTGACATATAGAAATCTGTTTTTCGTTATTGCTAAATTGTTATTTTCTGTGTATTCAATGAAATAGATAAATGGATATTTTAAGAAAAAAATAGCAAAAAAGAAAATTTTTAGATTAGTATAGAGAAAATAAAAAACATCTATAAAATGAGACAAATATGCAGAAGATTTGAAGAGAAGAAAAAAGAAAGAAATTTAGAGAACGTAAAATGCAGCAAATAGAAAACAAAAACTTAATTTCCAAGTGCGCATATTCTTATCGAAGAGATTTGATTTTGTGACCACAGCATATCATTATCTGCAAATACAGTTGCAATCATAAAGTGCTGATAAGACACTGCTGATATAGTCTTAGCTTAGACAGATAAATGTCTAAAATTCAGTAATGTAAATCACTTTCTGGCAAGCTTTTCCATCTAGATTTGGATTTATTCGATTAATTAGATAATTGTGTAAATGCTGTTTCTAACATCTTCAAATTCTGTAACTTTGTCAATCTTTTATTTTTCGAGAAGTACTTGTACAAAAGAAGAATACATTTTATTAAAATCAAATTGAAATATATCATTTAAAATTAAAAGTATATATTGCACTTCTTTTTTGAAAACAGCTGGTTTGACTATGCGCACTAGTAGTGGTAATATAGGATCAGATAGTGACATGAAATTGGAGCCATCTAGTCCTACGGAGAAATATACTTTCTCTCGTTGTAGTAGCACAGGCTCAGTGAACACGCCATCTTCATCAGCTCATAATACAGGTAAGCAATTTTCCATACTGATGTTTTTTCCATATTGATTAAAAATGTTTAATAACAGATTGGCCAATAGAAAATTGATAAGAAAATATAATTTTCAGAGGATGAGGACAGTGATAATAAAAGTTCTACTATAAGCTACAAAGAGCGCAGAAGGGAAGCCCATACTCAAGCTGAGCAGAAGAGAAGAGATGCTATCAAGAAGGGCTATGACTCCCTTCAAGATTTGGTTCCCACTTGTCAGCATACAGATTCATCAGGTTATAAGATCTCCAAGGCTACGGTGCTTCAAAAATCCATCGATTACATACAGTTTTTGCTGCAACAAAAAAAGAAGCAGGAGGAAGAACGTAATGGGTTGAGGAAAGAGGTTGTTGCGTTACGCATTATGCAAACTAATTATGAACAGATCGTCAAAGCGCATCAGACACAACCAGGACATGCAGAAATGCGAGTTTCGGACGAAATGAAGTTTCAAGTGGTAATATTATTATACTTTTGTTTTACTTTAAATTGCAATTATTAATCGCCTGCCCTATACATAATGTGTATTGTTTGTTGCAGTTTCAGGCAATAATGGATCGCCTTTTCCAAACGTTTAATAACGTTTCTGTAGCAAACTTTGCAGAATTATCAGGATGTGTGTTCAGTTGGTTGGAGGAGCATTGTAAACCTCAGGTAAAAACAATTATATTTCTCATAACTATTTTGCATTTGATATATTTCTTTGAGATGTAAAAATGTTGATTAATGAGTTATTATTTCCTTAGACGCTGCGTGAAGTGGTACTTTCTGTACTGCAGCAACTTAACAATCAAATTAACTAGTCAAATGTATCTTTAAGAAAGATGCATATTGCATACAATAGAATTCAATAGCTTCGTATAGCTATTGAAAATATATACATTAACATTTAAAAATTATTTTAAGATTATGAAACAGAAAATATACATGTTTTTTTTCTATTTGATTATTGATACTGGAGGCTTGATAATTTGACATAAAAGCGAGATTGAAATATTCGAATTATTGTACTAAAATGACAAATATTGGTGATTTTCTCGTTGCAATCTCTGTATCAATGTAATGTTTTTTTTTTTACTATTTAGTTTATATATCTAGATGATATATATAAATCTAGATACTTAAATGTATGTTCTATACATTGTTAACAAAGTTTTCAAAACTGTGCGATCTCTAAATGCACTTTGCATTTTTCAGTGAGCAGATTTGTTGCATAATAGAACCAATTATTAATTTTTCCAATATTTTCGACATTTATGAATACGTACGCGGATATGCGCGTACATGCGCGCTTATACATATACATACAGAATTGTTTGTGTTACAAAATTTATTTTATGTTAAACTATTATTGGTTTTTTATATATATATATATATATATATATATATAAGGTGATTAACAATTTATAAATATCAGAGATAAAATTTTGAAACATTAGTATTTATATAAATTACTTTGTTTAATATCTTTTATTTTTTTTTAAATATCTCTATTTTTTTTAAGTTTTGTGCGAAATAAATGCACTAACAGGTATCTCTTGTAGAGCTTGTACAAATCAAAGTTTTATAGTTTATAATATTGTATAATGAGATCTTTAGACCAATTCCACACATAAAGTTACCATAGAAGAGATGCGCACACCTTGCATATGTTTTACACATATAATATGCGTAAGAAAAATACAAATAAGAATTTATTTTATATATAATTAGTGGATGTAAATATACAGATATGATACAAGATTGTTATCAATGACCATATTATTGAACATTTTATTAGATCTTTTATTGCGTACACTTTGCGATACATAAATGGCATATGGTGTATATATGTGTGTACGTATGTATGTATGTATATCTGATTATGTATATATAACAGATTTATATAATATATTTACAATGAAATGAACGTATGCGCAGCTGAGTTTCAAGTTATATTTAACATTATTCCCTAACTCCAATATATGCATATATGTATATATAGATTTTAATTAATATTTCTTTTAAAAGTATGGAAGGGTTATTGGAAATATTTATACATATACATCTATATTATTTTTAATATCATCAGTTATCTCATCCTTATTCATGGTTTGAAATTCTTTGCATTGCTTTTACAATTGTAATTATTGCTGCAAAGAAAGTGTTCTTAAATCTTTCGTTTAAATCTTCTCTGATTCCGTGGGCATACTTTCCCCCTGTGTGATATCGTTTAACGGAATCGTGTTTAATCGGCATGTATTGGGATTATCGCCCTCTTGCTGGGGACTTTGTTGACGTCGCCTTTTAGATCTGCCTCTCGACCGACAGCACAAATCGCGAAAGATGCAAGCGTAACAGGCGAGCAGCGCCGACATCATCGTTAAACCGCTGATCGCGAGAATGACGACCAGAAAGATAGAAATTGTGTCGTCCATTTTGTACTTCAAGCGCGGATTTAATACTGTTAAATGCTGTAACAGAAATTCATTTGACAAATTATTAAACATTTTTTTATTTTAGTAAATTTGACTGATTTGTATTTATAGTTGTACATAAACGCAATAGAAAGGATTTATTGAATTTCGTCGGTCTATATTTATAATTATAATTATAATTACATTTATAATTAAAAGTACATAGAGAAAATTGAATCTGGCTAATTAGATTAATATAATAAATCTATTTATATAATTATTCGGAAATTTGTCGTCAAAATAAGAGATGAAAGAGCTACTTAGCTTTTATTTGCTACCATATAATTAATTTTTTTATTGATACATTTTCTTATTTGGATTCATCGCTTAGTCGGTGATGATAACATCTTGAACGAATAGCGCTCGTAATTAATTTTTTTTTAATTATATCTCGTGTAATTCTTGGAATTCAGAAAATTCTATCTCGTTTTCGCAGAACGTGAATTAATTATGAAAATGCGACGCTATACGTTTTCCGGAATGTCAAATATATTGTGTAAAAATGATGGTGTAAAATTAATCATATGGAACTTAATTCATTTCGCTTGTATTTTTGCTTTATTGTGTTTTCCAACATTCTCTTTATATTTGCCAATTTTGTTCTCTAAAATGACAACTAATTCGGATTTAATATACGTATATCGTTTGACATGTTTGAAATTTTTTTTTACGTAGAATATCTCGCGAGATATTCTCACTCGATCGAGCGATTATTTGCATATATTATCTCTCGCGAATTCTCTTTTTATGATTTTTCCGAAGGTATTCTCTCTTCATCACGTCTCTTCCGATTGAAGTAAAATCGATAAAAAGCCAGATCTTTCCGCGCGTGAGGAAAAAGACGTACAAGAGAAAATGTCCTAAAAAAAGGAATCTATCTATAAAAGTTCTCGTTATAAGCGAAAAAAAATGCGGAAGTCTTGAATGTCGTGGGATGAGAGACTAGCAGGATAAATGCCACGATATGAGGGAGATCATATTTCTTTATATGAATACTAGATGCTTGCCGAAAGCGGCATCATCGGTCTTAGCTCTCGAAGAATTTTACGATGATGAGTCGGTGGATGTGCGCGATGGTATTCTCGGGTCAAAAAAACCTTATGCGAGTGAAAAAGACGCTGCTGAATAAAAATGCGAACTATGCGCGAAATTTACAAATTGCTATAGAGCAGACTCTGTTTTTAATGAAGCGCAAAGACTTTCGAAATTGAACACAGTAGGGAAATCTGTGTTTTCTTATTAAAACGTTATGTTTTCTTATTAAAATTTTTGTGTTAAATATTTAACACATGAATGTGTTAGTTTAAGATACTGAAATATGTTGGTTTATTAATGACAAGATTTATATATATATAATTACAGAAAAAATGTTAATTTTTTATTTTATAATATAAGTGGGATGATTAAATCTAAAAAGAATATATTTTCAGTTAATTTTTATATTAAAATTCTTAATTTTACACAAAATTTATTTTAAATTACTTGAAATTTTGCATTTATTCTGTGTTAAAATATTAACACAGTATTCGTGTCTCCCGGACTCACATGTCCATATATCATGTTAAATTAACACGAAATTTTCTGGACCGTAAGAGACATGTGAGATATCTGTTAAAAACACAATTTTTAACTGTGAGGCGAAACGATAAGGCGAAGACATATTGATATATATATATTTTTCCCCTGGAAATTGTTTTTAATATGAAATTATTATACGTTGCGTGAAAAATGTATCCTTTGATAATTTCTGTGAATGTACATTCGGTTTATTTTACGTTCACTTTTATTCTTATTACTCGAGAATATCACGTCGATATTGAAAAATATATATAAGAATAATTGCATCTCGCACAAAGGACGGATTTCGCGCAATGATTGATCAGTTTGCGTTCTCTGTATACCATTTCTCTCAAATAGCGAAACGACCGTTTTTCGCAATGATATACGCTTTTTTTCGCTTTATTTGATTTATCTGATTAATTCGTTGACGCGTATTTCGTATCATTATTTGTGATCATTTGTGTAAAATTAACGATGGGTCACAGAACCGGAGGATGGGAAATGACATATATCTGCGTCGCAATAAACATGCCCTCTTCTAATTCGATAACAATAACGACAAATGGAGCGTGATTTTTCACAAAAGGGGCGCACAATTGATGAAAAAGAAAATCGTTCGTTTAATCATTCTATAATAATGTTATAATTGGAAGCTTTTAGAAAATATTTTGCAATTCGAAATTCTTTTGATATTATATAATTTATATAATTTTTGTTATTATATCTATATATACATATGGTTTTTTGTCCGAAAATGTATAATATAAGATCCTTTTTTAAACAAAATTTTCGTAATTATAATCTTTCTACTTAAAGAAAATGACGCTAAATCGAATGCTGTAAAACTTTCCTTACATTCTCTTACATTTTTAATATGTAATTTTTTTACGGAAATCGCAAAGAGAATCAACATCTTTATTACGTCATGATAGGCAAAATTCTTTATGCAAGAGACATTTTACGTTTGCGAGAACTCCGGCTTATTTCCGGCTCGTCGTTTTCTTCCTATGAATCTTCTCTCGCAGATTCTTTTCATCCCTTTAAAAGGTAATAAAAACATCGTTAAATGGTACTCTCTTTCTTTCCCTTTTTTTATTCATGAGATTCAGAATCTCATTCTCATACGTGTTTTATAGAAGCACTATGATATTTTATTTTACTCAAAAACAATACCAAACGATATAAAATGTGCATTAAACATATCCTACATTTACACGATTTTTTGTATATTTCACGAGAAATGTCTACAATAATATACGTTTTGAATAAAATAATATATGAATATGTAAATTTATGTAGGTTACGACGCATGAAAAAGGATGAGTAAAAAAGTAATTTATATTGCACATAAAATATAAAAAAAATTTCTATATAGAGAGATGTGGCACAACGATATCTCTTGAATATATAAATCCCTTTTGTAATCTTATCCTTGAAAGTTCTATAATATGTTTAATGTTATACGTTTCTGTCTTTTCCCGATGTTTTCAGACTTGAGTTACCTCTTTAAATTAAAAATATTTAATTTGTTACTCTCCTCTGATATCAATTTCCTCTAAATGTTGATGCTTGAAATATATCGCATTATAATACATTTGAGATAAATATTTTATTTTTGATATTTTTAAAATACAAATGTCACATATAATCAATGTTACATATGCAAATCAACTAGACATTTTTAGATATTTTTTTTATCTCCAACGTTGTTTTCATGGGGCTATAGATACTTATACAGTCACTCCTGCACATTTAATCCGAGTTATATCTTACGAAGATTGATCGAGTACTAGGAAAATATATATATATATATATATATATATATATATATATACATAAGAGGGAGAATTTCTCCATGATTTTATCTCACCTACATTATTATGATATCGGAGGGTTTCTGCGCGCGCGATTCTTCTTCATCCCCTTTTTAACACGGTTTGTGGACACAGAATATCCGATTTTATGCGCATCATTGAGCTTCTCGTCTCGCTCTCGTTCACCCCGCAGCAAATTGAATGCTAGCGTCCTCCTTCGCCCTTCGATATTTCAAAGCGTCTCATCGTCATACTGATCTCATCCCGCGGATACAGCGATTTACTTTTATAGAAATTGATTCGGTGTTGAATAATAATTCGCGTCCAGATACGATTCGTGGGATTCATGATGCCACTATGTGATCAGAATAAAAATAGAATTGAACTCCGGTAATCATTTTCGAAATCTCGTTTCGATGATCACTTTATGTTTTTATTGCACAATCACAGTAGCCGACTAAACCAATCATCTTCTCTTCAAAACTTATTGTCAGTTCTCTTTTTTTCACATCCGTGGCAAAATATATGAATTACAAAACAATGTTTGATATTGAAAAAAAACAATTGAAAAATCTTTTTTTAATTAAGTTTGACAGATCCTTCCGTTTATTGGAGTCTTGTTATTGACAGATCATTCCGTTATTGGAGTTCTGTCATTGACAAATTACCGATGAGTCGAGCGACGTGACGAAGGTAAATTGATATTTTTTTTTAAATAAACGTAGGGGAAAACTTCCATTACACCGCTGTTTACAGTGCGAGAGTCGCGTGCAAACTGTCAGTGAACGGTCCATCGTGATGCGCATCCTCCAGAGAGCTCTCTTGCTGCTCTTCTCCCACTCACGTTTCTCTTGTCATTCTATATAACATATCCTACATGATATAAAAATCTAACAAAGAAATTTTTATTTTCAACGTAAGAAACATTTTTCCATCTTTACAATATCTTGAATGTAAATCGATTATAATCGCGCAATTTAGCTAGGAACAGCTTTTATAATCAGGGTTGGGTAATAACTAGTTAATTAGTTAAAATTAAAAGAAAGTTAAAGTAAATAACTTTTAAGTTAGTTTAGTTAATTTAAAATGTATTAATTTTTAACTTCAATTAGTTATTTTTGACCTTAAACTTATTAACTTTTTTCCCAAGTTAAATTTCTTTTATCTCTGAATACCATATTATTGTTTTTTTATAAGTTATAAACGTATTATTTTTAAAATAAAGTATTATTAATTTTTATGTTTTTATTTGTGTCATCAATTATAATTACCAAAAAAAATATATTTCTATATAAAAATCAAAATTTCTTTGTTGTTTGTTATTATAAATTTTAAAAGAATTAACAAACAAAATTCTAATTTAATATAAAGATTTTTAAAAATTAACTTTTGACTTAATTCAGTTAATTTAATCTCAACTTAACTTTAACTTTAAGTTAATTTTTTGTTCATGCAACTTTTAACTTGGTTAAATTTTAATTTTATAAGCAATTAACTTTAACTTAACTTAGTTTTAAAAAATCGTTAACTTATCCAACCCTGCTTATAATACTTATATTTATTGTTTGAAATTTTGTATAAGTGTATTAATTTATTAAGAATTTTATCTTTTCTCAAATGTTCTTTTGAATTAGATTCTGTGGATATAAAGATGTTATCTATATATGTATATGTATATATATAATTTTTTCAATAAGATGAAAATCCGCGTTGAAGATAAAGAAAATCATCATCTGTCATCTTTTTCAGAAGATTTTTTAAAAGAAGGTGACAGACACTTAATCTCAACCGAGATTAATTTTTTATTTATCTCTGAAAATAAATTGTATTGAAAAATATTTATTTACGAGAGTGATGCTTACTTAAAATAGCATTTACGTAATTAGAGCGACAAATCGATTACACGAAAAATAAATAGAATGCTTCAATTACTTAAACATAACACAAATGAACAATCAATATTCCGTTATTAAGTCATGTTATATTTGTTGTCGCAATTTTTCACTTTAACTAGGGCTATACTGAAATTTCCCGAAACTTGCTGCTTCAATTTCCTCGGCACGATAATGTTGTTAGCGATGTTGCGGCTTCTCTTTATCTTTCATGATTCATCGACGAGCTTCTCTATCGACGAATATCACCTGTCACTCGTTTAACGGAGTGGTTTCCTCCCTCTGGCCGCAATTTTCGGCTTGTGCTTTCCCCGTATAGCGTCTCTTCTCGATAGGATAGGATTGAATTTCTCTCGGATGAAATTAAATGTGTCTCCGGAGAATATAAGAAGGAAGCTGAGATTGAGCTTTGAATTACGTGATCGAAAATCAGAGGAAACGAAAGTTACTCTATCTACACAGTATATAGGACACTATATATTAATTTAATAAAAGACAGATTTGGAGAGTGAATATTTTTACAATTTTACATTCAAACAGAAATAAAAATTCAAATGTTTAATATTCTGGAGAGCTGAAAAGTTTAATTTCACTAGCATTTATGAATACATTTTTTAGAAGATAAAGAATAGAAGAAATTCTTATAAAAAGGGATTACGCCATAGAGACAAGTTGCGCAAATTACTGAACAATCGCGGCTATTAACGACAGCTATATCATGCGTAAATCCATTTACATGTATACGTACACGCGTATGATAGAAATAATATGCTTCGTTAGTTGTGTTCGCCATACGGAGTGTATTAAATCACATATTACGTATTGTCGCTCGCAAATTATTAACGATGGCTGGCGGGATACGCGGTGAATCCGTAACGAGATCACGAATATATACGCACGTTCCCAGTATAAAAAACAATTCCTTTCGACCCGCGTTCATTATTTAAGACGAAGGACAAGCAGAAAAATTCCCCTATAAGAATAATTCATGAATCGTAAGCTCTCGATTTGTCACAACGAATCGATAGTTGTGCGACCTCCTTTTCTTGATCGTTAGGATCTTTCGTCTGCCGGAAATCGCATTAAATTAACAATCTCTCGCTTGGGAAATTGCTTTTGTATGCAACGTTCATAACGTTTTCTTCTTTTTCCGCGGAATAATATCTTAAAGAAACTTGAATTTTTATCGCGCAATTTGAATATCTCACGGAGCGGTTTAAAGGATTGTGAGAATCTAGCAAACCTATAAATAAGATATTTTTTTAAACAAATGGACAAATATTGAACCAGTAAAACGAGAATGGTATTTATTACAAATGCTTATTTTTATTTTGATTTTTTTATCAAATATATTTTTCATAGAGAAAGTATTAAATTTTTGATTTATTCAAATAAAACTTTTTATATAATGTTCAAAAATATTCAATTTTTCGATTTGCTAGATTCCTATATCTTTTTAAATATATAGCGAAGATAGAACAAATTACCGTGTGTGTGAAAGAGAGAGAGAGAGAGAAATCTGGTAAAATATTTCTTATTTCCTAAAAGGGATTACTCTACTCTTTATTACAGAAATGGAGTTTTTGTCACGAGTTATGCCATTGTAAAGGATTGAAAAATTAATAATCGATCGCAGGATATGTGTGTCGAAGTATCTAAGACGGACTAAGCGCTTCCTTCAGAATATTACTGAATTCCATTAGTTCCTTTCTCAGTTTTTGCACATCCGTTTCCTCTACTCTCCTCTCGTATTGACGAAGGTAACGTTGTACCAGTTGCGCCGTAACTTCTGCGAATCGCTCGTCTTTCTTCTTTTCCAGATCTTCCTGCGGCAAAATATTGAACAAATTAATGGAAACATACATGTTTCTGCTTTGATCGTGATGTTTAAATATTTAAAAATTTTTGAAAAAATAAATGCTACGGGAAAAACAAATAAATAAATTCCACGACACAAAATGTAGTTTCTGTTCCTCGTGTTGGAAATACAATAATTGATATTTGGTTTAATAACACGACACGTTAGGTCAATATTGAAGGCATACTGACTATGTAGCAACAATTCACAAAGTCCCATCGTGCTCGTTTGCCAGGCGGCGGCTTAAACAATATTTTTATATATTCGATCATCGGCCGCAGCCCCGTGAATATCGAGAAGATGCAGAACGGTGGTGGAAGTGTTGTCGTAAGCATGAAATTGACGTAAGCCTGAAAAATATGGAACGATATTCATTTACATAATATATTGACACATTCGCGGATATCTTCCTCTTTAAATCGGCGATTCATCATTTTGACTATCTCTCTCATTTGTTGCATTTTTCACTTGAAACTTGAAGGCGAGGAAATCCATTTAACTAAAGACGAAAGCGTTTGAAGAATTTGCTTACCTCAGTTCGGCCAAAAATCCATTCTACGTTAACGTTATCGGTCACTTTGGTGAAGGTATTCGCCATACACGCAATTAGCATATTTAGAACAACTATCACGGAGATGAATTGGAAACCTGACGAATAGATTTGATTAAAGTAGTTTATCAACAGCGATAAGTTCGTTTTTCTTTGCTTATCGACAAAACAGTTTGATATACTTACTGGCGAAAGCGGAATAACCGATGAATTCGGTAAAGCTATGCTGATTAATTATCGTCTCCGATTCCCTCTCACCCGGAAGATTCTCGATAATTACATCGGCGCTTTCCACCGGGCTCATACAGAAAACAGCCCAGAAGAGGGTCTTCAAGGTGGATTTGAAACTGACAAAAGAATCCTCCTGCTCCGTCTTTAATTTCGACTCGTCGTCGGTTTGCACCATTCCGTCATAATATTGATAAAGATGACACAGTCCTTAGAGAAAAGTTGTCAAAATCTGGATTAAAATAAAACGTTGGATTTCGAAAAAAAGTATTAAATCACGCAAAAGGTTTTCTTGAATTTTAAAGATTTGTAATATGCATATAAATTATTAAGTAAAGCATTCAAGATTGTTTGCCAAGTCAAAAAAAATGTTTTATACAATTTAATTCCACGCTATGTGTCTTACCGATTGCGAAGGCCATAACGATGATACCGAATATCGCGATAAAATGGCCGACATCTCTGATCATTTTAACCAGAGAGAGCTGCAAGGGTCCGAGATTATAATCCAATTGACAGATGAACAATAATTTAAAGAATGCCATTATCGTGGCGACACAAAAGATCCCCTCCGCTATCAAAGTCGGATCGTGCTTGTGCCAGTACTTTCTTTCTAGGTCACGTTGACCGTTCATTCTAACGTCCAACGCGGCAACTATCCAGAAGAGAAACGTCAGAATGAACAGCACGAGCATAATTAGCTCGTACCTGCATTATATACGCAAAATTATATACGCAATCGAAAAAATGTACGTATTAATCAGATTTATGGATTTTTTGAGAGATCGTTATCTCGATATTAATTGGACAACAGCCCCTTTATCTCTTACCAATTTGTACGCGTACTGAAGCATCTAACTGGACCATCCACAATGCACAGTCGGATAAATGCAGCTGTATACGATATCACGTAAATAGCAAGAATCCATTCGTATCCTGAAAATAGAAAAATCGATTTAAATATTTGATTATAAAGATTTATTTATATACGCTGTATGCAACGCCATCACACATTCATATAATATCCAGTGCTTTCTATTTTAAAAATTTAATTTATTTTGATAATTATCTAGAATAATCTAGGTGAATTCAATCATTTTATCCTTATTTTTATGCAAATGTAAATTATTTTAGATCAAAGTAGTCTTATTTTAAATTAAATGGTAAATGTTTACATACGTATATTAAATATATATATATATATATATATATATTTTATTTTATATATTTTTTTCTTTATTTAGATAATTTCAAGATTATCCAACCGGAACATTTGTAAAGAAAAATATTCTTAGATGAATCTTAAAATGGAGCAATATACTATCACAGAACTGGATTATCATTTAAATAACTCTCATAAAAATATTGTACATTAAGTTGACATAACAGTAACGTTATACGTATGCAATACGTTTAAGGTTTAACTTTCATCCGAAAGGGAGAAAGGATTAAATGTGCACCGGTATCGGGTGGTCCACGAAGCTGTTCGGTTTTGTCGCTGCGCGATTGTAGAAATACGAACGTGAGAAATATCAAATAATTCGCTACGGAGGAGAGAAATTTGTTGACCGGGATCTCGTAAAATTTCGTCTGTTTCGAGTTTGGTGCGAACAGTACGATAAAGGCTACGATAGGTAGCATGCCAATCTGCAGAATCATCGATAAACATTTCAACCACGTGCTTCTGACCTTCCATTCGTGCCAGGTACCGATCCATGCATTTTCAACGATCTGAAAAAGAGAGATATGATTTTATAATATATTTCTAAAATTATGGAAGCCCTTCGCTATTCTATCGATCAATTTTTTGACAGATAATATAAATTTTGTTAAGCTATCACATAAATTTTATATAATGTGATTTAGAAAACTTATTAAAATTATAGGATACTGAAAGGATTTTTTAATTATTTTATTCTATTTTATTATTTGAGGATTTAATTTTGTTCTAATTTCTTACGCTAATGATATAGCAATATTTTTTCGATTGTATAATTTGTTGAGTTTTGATCGTCATATACCTGTTGTATATTCGGATGAGCCACGAAATTCTTTTGCTTGTAATCCAATGCCAGCAAAAGCCTTGGATATGCAAAAGTAGAACTACGGCCGAAACCAGTAATTTGCTTTAATACACACTCGACTTCTTCGGCTGTTCGAGCGAATCCGATCAAGTCCGTCGCGAAATCAGACACCTCCTTTATCGCAAAACAACAGACCATTAATTTATCGTAGTGCTTAAGCACAGTGTCTCTCGACACTACACATCGCAGACATATTATTCAATATTTTTCGATATAAGTATACACAAAAAAAATTATTAAATTAATAAATATTTATTTCAATACTGCCAAATAAATCATTTATTTGAAACAAATAAATATTTATCTGTTTTGAAAAGGATATTTTATAAATATTTTTTCACATCAAATCAATATTAGTTTGAAATCAATGATTTTTATAAGGCAGTATTGAAATAAATATTTCAAATTTAATAAATTTTGGTTCAGTGTAATAAATATCACAAGATTTCAACTTACTCTGGATAAGGCTTTGTAATCGGGGTAGAATTCCCTAACGAATGAAGCTACTTTGCTGAGTTCGACAGATAATTCAAACGCTCGTAGGATCGGATCTTCCTCAGTTTGACAAATGTATATCGGATTCGATACCGCGTTGTACAGAAATAATCTCATTTTCTCTATAGTCAGGATATCACCCTTATCTCTTTCCGGTCTACGATAGCGAAGAGGGTGAAAGTAAATATATGAGAAATATAAATGGAGAAAATTATATAATTATTATATTTTATATATATATATATATATATATATATATATATATTCGACACACAATTGTGATTCTTCGTGAATTAATTATACGTCCATAGGAAGTTCTAAACTAACAATAACATTGTACGTGGATGGAATTAGTCCTAAGCTAAGTTTGCGAATATTGTCTCTCTAGAAATGGTATGGTCCGCAATCATACTTGCAGACTTCGTCGCAGTTGCAACTGGGCGGATGGGGTTTCTGCAAAATATGATGTCGGAATCTGAGCATATCAATCATCTCGAAATGTCCGTATTGCGCCGCGACTGCGAGAGGGATCGTATCGTCTGGGAAATCGGGACTGTGAGTGACACCGGCGTACTCGAGTCCCGGCGTCAATTCATTCAGCTTGTTCAATATTAACACGGTAATCCTTATTTGATTATCCCTGATTGCGTGTAGATGTGTGTCGGTCGGATCGATGTCCGGGTGAGACAATAGATACTCGACCATTGCCACGTTTCTCTCATTCACGGCGATATGGAGTGCGCTGACACCCTGAAAATTATTCATTATCATTGACATAATATATCGACCGGGAAAATTCCATAACTCATAAATTAAAAAAAAAAGAAAAAAGAAAATCTCACGCAAAATGTAGCTGAACATATATAATAGCAACGACTCTCCGTTCCGCTGTTTGCATAATTATCGATAATAGAACGGAAATGGCGATCTACCCTGGGTGAATTATGACAGTGGAGCACTCTAAATAGATTTTTCGACTTTTTCTGAAATTCCTCTTTAGTCGTGGCGAGGAGGAAACGATTTCGGAACACTACCGCGGCTTTTTTCTCTTTTTTTCTCATCGTGTCCCTTTCTATAGGAAGAATGGAACGACGACGTTTGTCACCCATCTGCGGCGCGTTTACAGAGGCGGACCCCAACAATGGGCCAGCACCATTGTGTCGTCGACACCAGTCACAATATTCACTGATATTTTGGCTTTTCGACAGGCCCCCGGGAGTTGTTCGTATATATCCACACGCCAAAAGCGACAATAATACCTCGTGATATATGTTCGGTAAAAAGCCCTAGTTTCGTGACAATCGGCAGCTGCCATCCTTAATGTTTCACGTGACTCGTCTAGATTTTACGTTCGATTAAATATTCGTTTATTTCTTATGGGTTGTTCTTTTGTGAAAAAAATGTTGAAATAGCTAAAAGAAAAAAAATGAAAATTGCACGGCACAAAATAACGAAGATTTGCACTCGTTGTCAGAATATTCTTGATGTATCGACACAACAGATCATAATATTTATCTTTGTGACTTAAAACTTAATTTTTAATTAATTATTGATAATAAGTTAAAAATTTAATTATTGAGAAGAAATAGTTCTCTTTTAGATTTACATTGTTAAGAATGAAACTAGCACACACAAGATGGTTATTAAACGAGCAGTGATATCGCGAATACAGTGGTGAAAGAACTCGGATCATTTGAATAATTTTATCAGGCCGGTTGAAACCATTGTCTTGTAAAAAGACGGCCCTGAAATATGGCCAGAGATATAACGAGGACACCCAGTTTCTTTCTCTATATGTTCTGCTCTCTTTCTCTCTCTTTCTTCACCGAATTCCCTCTTCTCTTTCTCTGTCTTCCTATCGCGTTGTCTTTCTTCGCGCCGCTTCGGCATTTCGGTCTCAAAGTCAAACGACAGTTTGACCGCTTTTCTGGAACCCTAAAGAGAGGAAAGAACACACCGACGAAGGAAACATTCCACGGGGGGTACGTGTTTCTTCACGGATTGAAGATTTCAGATAACTAGACTTTACATAGTCTTCGTTCTCATCGTTCTTTCTTTTCTCATAATTTGTTTCCCTACTTTTGAAGAGAATAATAAATTATCCAAGTTATTTATCTTGAAACATTTCACCATTTGTGTTAAAGAATGTATCCGCAAATTGTACAGAAATAGTTTCGAAGATAGCGCGTCAGTATCATAGATGAGCTGTTAGAATGAGAGGTATGTACAGCTTCACTTTAGATTATTCTAAAATTTGTTTTTCTTGCCGAGATTTTTGTCTTCTAACAAAAACAGGTATGAACCTGAGATAAACACATTAATCATTCGAGCTCAAAGAAGAATTCGATAAAATTGACACCGAGCATATCTCTCTGAAGAAAACAACCGCATTATCGTTTCGGTAAATCCGTTAAGCGATTGTGTCGGATGTTGAATCACACAGGAAGAGCGAGATGGGATGAGATGGATGATGGGAGAGATAAATTCGGGAATCTTTACGAACTGTTTAAAAGTCTACCAAAGTTTAAAGCGCGCCCGATGTGAATTACGGACGGGAAACGGAATGAATCCGGTGGACCGTAATTTATGGAAAACGCATTCCACCGAGGTGTAATTTAGCGTCTCGAATCGCTAACTGCATTTGCCATCGTCGTTAAGGTATACCCGAGATAGTCGGCGTTAATTGTCAAGCAGGAAATGAGTTTACTTTGCTTTCACAAATTCTTCACGCGCGCACAATTTTTCATGTTTTACTTGAACATTATAAACTTGTATTTTACCCCTTGAATATTGATAGGTTCTTTGGAGTCGCGCGAAGAAAGTTGTGAACTCGTGTGCTTACTTGAAAATTCGTGGCGTTTATATTGAAGTCGGGATGATCCTCGAGGAATAGACGTACTTCGACGATATTTCCATCGGTGACGAGTTCGAAGAATCTTTTCTCGAGTTCTTGAAAATGCGGAAATATCACGTCGGAAGGCTGCAATCAAATAACCTTTAAATAGACTCGGAACATATTGCATCTTCCATTTTTTCTTACTCTATTTTTGTGTATGTTTAGAAAACACTAAATAATTTATTTTGAGTTTTAAGAGATTCTACCGACATAATCTGTTTGGAAAGCTTACATTTCCGAGTTCGTCCTCCGTTCCGACTACGGTTTCATTATCTGTCATCACGGATAATCACGAAATTGTACACAATCGCCTTCACGTCGATGTTATATATATAAGATTTATTTCTTAAATATAGATAGGACGGTTTCAAAAATTTAGGAGCATTTAAATCTTTTGAAACAGAGAATCGTTAAAGATATTTTCCATGCTAATTAGAACATTTTGTTTCAATTGGACTATGAAAATGAAATTGCTCCCATTTGAATTATTAGAGACTTGTTTTATATATAACGTAAAGAAATTATAGAGTGTATGTATACACACAGTCGTGGAATCTTTTTTGCTTAATTTTTTTTCATTTATTCATTTAAATCGATGATATATCTATATATATATATAGTATATAGCAAATAACAAGATACGATGTGCTTTCGTTAATAATGTTATTTAATCTTTTTTGCGAAGGGTATATATACATAATTTATAATTTGTTTGTGCGCTACAATATACAAATAATAATAATAATAATAATAATAATAATAATAATAATAATATAATAATAATAATATAATCGAAAATAATATAATAATATAATATATATATAATAATATATAATATATTTAGATCATTTTTAGATTTCTCAATTACAATAGTTTTTGTATTATTAAAATAATTAATTAACTTTTACGTTGGTTATACATAATTGACGATCGTTAAAAATATGACAGTGACGCAATACGATTTAACATTACTGTACAACGAAAAGGTACTCGATAGATCGTCACAATTGACAACTGATAATAGCAACGAGTATAAGATCTGTTTGCTTCAGTTGCACTTTCTGCATCTTGTCTCTCTCTTATTTTCTCTTTCGAAAATTTCTAAATCTACAATTGTCTTATTTTAAATCTAGAAACTGCAAGAAAGTGTAGTCTAAACTGAACACAGATTTATAATTATAGTTTCGAGTGTATAACATCAATTATAATAATGGATACAAGAGCGATGTGTGTTAATAGAATGAAAAATTGAAGCAGATTACGTCTCCTTCCGATTGTGTTAGAGGAAGTGAAAAGAAAAGTATGTCTAGGGCTATGTACAATAATCTTTATTTCCTAAAAGAGGATCGCCTCTTAAGATACTTCTCTCCATTTCTCTTTAAATTAATTTCAACAACGAATATATATATATATATATATATATATATATATATATATATATTTGCTGCATACACATACATTAAAGATTGGGATAACATTATGATAGAAGAGTCAGTGATCTATTATTTTACATACTTTTCACGATGTAACTTTCTTAGATAACTTCATACCTAAATTTACCGAACAAGATAATACACACGATTCGCGAACGCTTTCGTATATAAGGAACAGAAGAGATATTATATTAAAGAAAAAAAGCTCCGATTCTCTTTAAAGCTTCGTTTTTCTATCAATTCCTTTTTTATTTATCGTCCTATATGGATCTAATATACTACACATGATCATTCGGTGAACACGGATAGGTCTCACTGGCCAACTCTCTCGTTTAGAACGACGTCTTTTATATTCTTGCGTATTAGATACACACGTTCGAATGGCGATGCAATCGCCATAGTTACACATTACTGTCTTTGACGATCTGTCGGAAAGAAAGATGCTCGAAAGAACCTCCACAACACTTGGACGAAATGAGCAAAGTTGAAGAGGAGCGCCAATGTGAAAAAGTCTTTACATCACTTGCGTCAAGCACCTGATCTCCTCGATGATCCCACTCGAGGATCTGTCGATGTCTGCGAGATTTCAGTTGTAGAGCATCTTCGGCGATAAAATGTAGGTGGACATCGAATAGAGCATCGACGCGTACCAATGGACACCACCCTCCTTCGCCGGTTGAGAGTCCTCGGTCTCTCCTCTGACATGCGGCGCGCTGTCCAACCTTTGGACGAAGAAGGACGCGATGGTGTTCCAAATCCTCAGCGGCAGGAAGGCGTAATGCGCTATCAACTGGCTGTCGACGACGGCGTAGCAGGACGCCACGACGTCGTCCACGATGACCGTACCCTCCGTCGTCAGGGGCGCGAATACACCCTCCTCGAGCACCAGCTTCGCCTCGACGACGTTGTCCCAACGTAGGCGGCTGTCCGTGTGATTATTCGCGGCGGTGTCGCTCACGAGGATCCTGTCGCCAGGTTGCACCCTGGCGGCGAATATCGACGAACGTTTCTCCACCGGTACCAGGTGCGCCGGCGTCAACGTCAGCACTCGGCCGGAGGCTGTTGTCAGACGGATAAATTGCCGCCTCTCGGACGGGGCGCGATCCAGGAAGGCGATCACCTCGCTGTACACGACGTCTCCACGGGAGTCCAAGGCGGCGATGCGCTCGCCCAGATGCACCTCGTCCAGCCTCTTTATGACACCGTCTTCCGTTCTGACCAGACTCTTTCCGGGGAAGCAACCACCAGACTTGCCCCTTGAAGACGATTCTGAAAATCAAGCATAAAGAGATATATCAATAATAGATGGTATAGGAATATATTCAATCACAATTAGAATTGCGGTTTTCTAAACTCTTAACATGGGAAAGCTAAGTAAAATATTATTAAAGTCAGAAGGAATCTAAATTAAAAAAAAAAAAAAGAATTTATATGAATATCACGAAGTCTTCGAAAACTATGTTTTTCTTCTTTAACTTTACTTCTCTGTAATTTTAAAGGATATTTATCACAATAAAAAATATTAATATGTGCATAATAAAATTAATGGAACATATTTTACATCTCATTGTCGTAGATATTAATATTTTTCTTGTGATAAATATTAATCAGAGAAACTCTTATAAAATTCTTCCAATATCATATTGTCCCACGATTACCATAATTTTCAGGGTAAATTCTAAGAGAAAATTCTCTCTGTGTATGAAAAAATATTACAATAAGCTGAAAGTTGTGTCGATATCATCATGTATACCTAATATAAATGACAGATATCGTTGAATGTTTTCGCGATCGTTTAAGCTGATTAAGGCGATTACGATGAAAATTGGCGAAGCGTTAAAATCGAGCGACAAGCGTGGGTCACATTCGCACTTTTTGTCACACTTTTGGGCTTCCCCCTTCACCCCATTGTTTGCCCTTCTCCTGAGCATCGACGCGTATCGATTTCGCGCCAATTTCTACGCTCGGTTTTAATTCGGACCGACAGGCGCGCCTTGTGATTTATTGTGCATTTATTTTGAAATTCGAGACACCCGAAACCGTGGCCTGGAACGAACACGAACCGCTGATTACTAATAAAGGTAAATACGCTGGATCAGAAATGAATTCTAGAGGGTGATGATACTGATCGGTGCATTCAAACACGTTGACTTTTTAATTTTTCAAAAATAACACAAAATATTGCACAATCCAACAATACTCTGTATATCCAATATTCTACCATCATGATCTAGATGTCGATAAAAGGAATCATTCTTAATGATTAATGTTCAAATAATAGCGTATTGAAATATTTCTGTAAGAAAAATTAATTTTTTATGATACATATAGAATTACATAATGAGACGATATATAAAATGAAATGTAGAACAAAATTTGAATAACATGTAAATTTTGTTAAATGTATGTGTCTTCTCAAAGGCGTCAAATCACTTTGTTACTCGTAACTAAAAACAGCATGACTTTAATATTCCATTAAACGGCGTTATATTACAACTGCACCGACTCCAGCATCTTTATTGCAATAAACGACGTCATTATAACCGCCAACTCGGTAGTTTATACGTTCATCTTTATTGGTGTAGTATAATCGGTGTTTACGCGGGTATTAACGAAAAATTACCGCAATTAAAATCTACACGCGGTTCGTAAATTTATTGCGCTTTTTAGTGCTCGTTTAAATATAGAGTTTCCTCAAGTAACTCGAAACAATTAAAGGACGTGCAACTTATATATACGCTCTTTCATTTAGTGACGCGTTCTGAATGAGACGATAGTAACTATACTAACCGGATTTGACGGAGCAATGAATGTGGGATCTGGACTCGTAATAGACCCAATCGAAACCAGCCTCGACGGCGAGTCTCGCCAACATCCCGTACTTGGAGCGATCTCGATCACTTGTCGTCACATCGACAGCTCGTCCCTCGTAGTGCAGAGAATCGGTCGCGTGTTTCATCTCTTCATCCCAGGCCTCTGTCACTCTCAGCTTCACTCCCGGCCACTGGTTCATCACCGAGATCGCCAGAGTGTTGAGCCTCTCCTTGCACCTCTGTAACATTGCATGTTCTAGCTTATCGGACAGTTATTGGTAACAGATTTATCGACTAAATGGAATTTAATCGATATGGATAGAGAAGCGAAGCTTATCATCTTCACGTGTTTCGTATACAAGATTTCATTTAATATTGCATTTTTCTTCGTGATACATATATCTTATTTATTCAAGTTTTGCAGATTTCCAAGTGTAAAATATTTCTAAAATATACCCTTATAACGCATTTCCGCCTTTTCTACAGCTAGGAGTATTTTCATAGGATTTAAATAAAATATTTAGGGTTGAAGCTGGCCTTTTTCCTCAGAACGAACAACGTTTTTCCGGGAGTTCCGCTTAACGCGATTTCCGTCGCATTTGAAAACATCGCGCGACACAGTCCGGTCGTAGAATTCAAGACGATTTCACGGTTCGCGCGGAAAAAGGAGAATCTTCCTCGTGATCGGTGGCGTCAGGTAGATAGATAGATAGCTAGAGAGAGAGAGACGAGGTTCTTCGAGGCCGCGGGAACCGCTGTGAGGAAAATGAATGCGTGTTTTGACCGGTCATGAGATCGGTCCCGAGAATCTTCAAGAGACTTTAACGGGCCCGAGTCCGTGGCGAATCAACGGACAAACAGGAGTGTATATATAAATACGGCCCCGAGACGTCGAGAACCATTCGGTCACGCCGATCCTCTCTCCTCTCCGTGCTCTCCTCTCTTGTCCGAAGTCACTTCTCTCTTATTGTCTACCTGTATCGACAAGCCGGGCGGTGCCGGGCCGCGGTGAATCAATAGCCGTTTTCTCTCTCGTAACGAAGCGCATGGGACGGAACGACTTGTTGAGACAGGACCCAATAGCGAAGGCGGAGGAGACCCACGGCTTAAACCCCGGCCTTAATCCGGAACGCGGCGTATCGAGGGCGCGAGAAGCCAAAGCGCGCAAAGGGAAGTCTCTCCATTCACCGCGGAGCCGCGGCATTGTCGAAGGGCCCGCGTTCAAATCGATTCTCGGAGGGCAATCGCCCACGCAGGGCCGTATCATGCGGATGACCGAGCATGCGGATCTCGATCCCGCGATGTATGTCTCCTCTCTTGCTCTCTTCTTTCATTCCCCGGTTGGTTAGAAAATAAAGAAGGGATCGGTTCTTCGAGAAGAAAGTCTGCATATGCATATATATGTACATGTCCCAGCAAACACTGATATATAATTGTTACATTGCTGTAATAAAACGGAATATAACAGGTAATATAACGTTTACGTTACATGTAACATCCATGTTAGTTGTAATTTCCCACTCATAGATGTAACATTTTAATATAACATATATTACATTGTAGTTATATTGTAATTGTATACCAAATGGCACATTGATGTATTGATAAGTCAGTGCTATCTTGGGATATAATGACTACAATGTAATATATGTAATATTAAAAATGTTACTACATGTAACATGCTTGAGTATATAACATTTATATATTGTGTTTGCTGGGGTATATACATACATATTTCTCTCTCTCTCTCTCTCTCTCTCTCTCTCTTTTTTCATTCACAATGGATCTCAATGGCGGTACGCAACCGCCGATGGTTTGCCGAACACTGAGACCTGTTGGACGCTAACCAAGACTGAAACGGAGCTAACAATATCCACGAATTTTGCAGCTTTCCTTGCGGCAATTAGCCTCTATTGACTGCGGTCCCCTTCGTCGCCCTCTTTTTATTTCCTCGGGGTCTCTCTCTCTCTCGTGAGCGTGAAAAGCCTTGACTTTAGCCACGTGCACGCGATTACCATAAGTGCGACGTCCAGCGACTGTCGGATGAATTTTCCATTTAAAGTATCCCGTGAGTATCGCGCTTTAAACCTCCTGCCTTCTGCATATGTGCGTGAATGGGATTTGCATTTCCGCGAAGCCCCGCTTGTATAAATCCGCGTTCAATAGGCGACCTTAATTCCCAAAGCGCGTGATATATTTTCACGAATTTATAACCGAAGCTGCTTCGGTTTTCAAACCGGGAATGACGTCGATCGCCGCTACTTCCGGCACGTGAAAGTCAATTTAGAGGACGAATCGATCATTTTACAGAGAACTCGAAAATGAAGAATACTTTGGAACTGATTATATAAAAAAAAAAACGATCGAAAATTATTATTCTTTATTAAACGGAACCAAATCCCTTTAGTATATACAAAATTTAAACGTACCAATTAGTACAAACTACGCAGAACATCTCATATTATATTCGCTCGCAGAGATTTTTTAAAACCATTTATTGATCCGTAAAAAAATCAACCTGGTCAGCAAAATTGTTGGCATATGCGATTTATAGGACCAAACTTCCCCTAATCGGTAACTCTTCATAAAATATTTTACTTCCTCGCAGAGGAACCTATACTTGGTGCATATACACTCGAGTAATTCAGGGCAGTTCACTCGAACAAGAAATAAAAAAATAACCTTCCGTTCTCCAATGAGACACAAGATTGAATTTCAGGAGCATCGAAAAATCGAGGTTTTTCATCACAAAATTTTCTCATGCGCCCTCGGCTTTCGTAACCCCCGTGCTCGTATGATGAGAACCGAGGTAATAGAGCACGAGAATGACGATGGAAGTCAAGAAGGAGAGGAAGAACAGAAGAAGGAGAGGTGAGGACGAGGAGGGTATAAAAGGCTGCGAAGGAGTCTCGTATAAAGAGAGGGAAGAATGGTGAAGGGCCCGAGATATATCGGCCGTAGAGCACTATGGGGAGCCTTGTTCGCGCAGCGGGATACCCCCTGGGCCCCTCCCAGACTTTACATCTATTTACAAATATTTTGGCGGAGTTGAAGAGATAGAGGGATATAATGGGATGAGAAAGAGAGTGCGCGCGCGCGCGGTCGGTCGCCCAAAGCCGAGAGAGAATGTCGGGTCTTATGAAAATCCATTTGGGGTAAAAAATGGGACCCGACTCGTAATACATTAAGGACGGGCAGAGCATTACGCGAAGAAGTGGGCAGAAATTGAAAAAGGAACTTCAGTCGAGATCTCTGGTGAGCGCGCTGCACGAATGTTTCGGAACGGAAAACGAACTTCATCACAGAGGCGAGCCGCCTTATAGTTCGTAAAAGTGGATCTTCGTGGAAAAAGGTTGTCGGAGGTTCGAGAAAATTTTCTGGAAATTATTTTCTCCGAAAGAATATTACCGTTCGACATCATTATTCATTCTACTAGCTTTCGATGCAACAATATTAGCTATATAAATAAATTTTATTTTTACACGGAGAACCCTCTGAAAATGATGGTAATCGAGGGACAATGTTGGAAGAATTTGATAAGAGTTTCTCCGATTAATGATTTTATTCTCTCTGCGTATAATACAGAGACGCTAGTGAAGCCATTGATAAATTTGAGAGTAGTAATGAATAAAATTTCATGGAAGCGCGTGATGCGTGACAAAGAGTAAATGGTCGGTAGCCGCGAAAAATGACGAAGGATGCTATTTTATCTCTCCCTCATCGAGCTCGCCTCGATAACCGCTAATTACGGAGCGCATGTCGCTTACACCTTACACCTCGTTTACATATTTCGTATCTTATCGTTTAAACGGTATTCGAGTAAACTCGTGTAAAGTTCTCTCTCGCGCGACTTCGCCCGGTGTATAATCAAGGTATAGCGACGCGAAAGCAATATTAATTTCCCTGTTCGGCGCGTGGTAACTAATTGCCCCTGCCGCATGTTACGGCTCGTTAGATCGCAAATAACGTCGACGGGACTGTCGAGAACAAAGGAGCGGGACGTCGAGACAAACGACGTCCGAACGGTCGAGGGAGACGCTTGGCCGAGGGTGTGGAGGTCAAGGAGCAGGAGAAAGAGAGGAGAGAAGCCAGCACGTAGTGTGTGAAGTGGAAGAAACGGCGGGAGCAGAAGAGGAACCACGAATGCCTCCTCGAAAGGGGGTTGGGTCCGACCCGAGACCCGTGGAAGATGGTGTGCGCGAAGCGGAGACTGGACCCAGCATCCAGCAGACGGAGCCCCGCCTCCACCGGAGTTTCTTCTCTGTTCCTTTTCCACCTCCAGCCCGCTTCGGGCTTTTACCTTCTTGCGTGTGCGGGGCCAGGCCAACCTTTTATTCCAATCTTCTTGTTTTAACGTGCTCGTTGCTCTATCCCCTCTTCTTCGCGATCCACCACCATCCTCCCTTCCAGGGTTCCTTCTTGGGGCCCCCGATGTGTTCCATTCACCGCGCAACAAAACGAACCGCCCAGGCGTCAGCTGATCTTCCACTTCCGCCTCGTCGGCAACTTCGCGACACCTTATCGATGATCTTCCCGATCATCGAAAATCGCTCGAGAAAATTCTTCTCTTCCTCGATGGAAGATGGTCAGGACGGACGAATCTTTTCGTGGATTTCTCCCTTTTGCGCGCATCTTTTAAATCTCGATCGAATCGCCGACGAAGAGAATTATCGAAACGAGACGCGATCGGTGCACGCGAAGGACAATGGCCCGGGACCAGAGAGATGACACGGCAACAATGACAGTCGTGTTTTCAGAGAGAATCGTGCGAGGTGCATCGAGTGTTTGTCGAGCTCTCTAGATGGTCCCAGCAATAACGACTGAAGAGCAATCTCGCCTGCGCCTTGGAACGACCTATCTCACGCTTCCCTTCGCTTCTCTTTCTCTTTCTCTCCCTTCTTCATCTTTATATTCTCTTTCGCCTCGTAGCGCCTCTGGTTTCTTTTCGTTTGTATACCGTATACGAAATATATGCTCTCTCGTTCTCTTCTTTGTTTTAGCAGTCTGTCAAACACAACCGAGTGTCCATCCTCGAATCCCTAACGATAAAAAAATGACTTGGAATCGCGTCTTCGATCCGAGCGGATTTCAAATCTTTTTAGTTTGTGCTCGATGAAAATCAACAGTGAACTCACTTTTCACGTTATTATTTTCCACTTCTTTTTGTAAAATCAAATTTTTATAATCAAACGATTTTGCGAAACCCCCCAAGAAACCCGTCGACGTAACGATCAATCTC